GAATTTGAAGTCACGCCAGTTATTTTTGCGTGACAGAAAATGTCACGCAAATACGCATTTTACCTGGTAATTGTCAAGCAAAATTATTGCTGTAGAAAAATTTCTAAAAAAGTTCGTCTTCACAGGAAAAATACGAACGCGGAAAAAAATTGTACGCATTTCGTTCGGACTTTTCACGCGAATTACGTATTTGTCACGCAATCCGTTCGAAATTTTTCGTACCTACCCCCCCCCCCCCCCCCCCCCCCCCGTTGACGGTTATTTGAAACGTGAGCGTAGCGAGCGCGAAAAATTTGAGGTGTTCAAAATTTGGCAAGATGTAATAAGATTTAAACCAAGGTGTTCAAATTTTTGGATCAAGGTGTTCAGATTTGGACCAAGGTGTCCACATTTTGAGGGGAGGTGTTCAACATTTCCAAGTCACTCATGTTAGGTGTTCCCAAGTTGACAGGCCTGTATTTCACCCCTGTAACTAAACTTAGAGTACTGCAAACGTTGCCACAATTTAAGATCTTAATGATCTCACCTGTGAACCACAAATCAAGTGACTCTTGCGTGGTCTGAGATCGGCAAAAATAGCTTCTATAATATTTTCTTTTTGGACACCCTGTAAGTCGAAGGTGAAGGTCGAAGGTGCAGGTCGAAGGTCGAAGGGTTTTTATAACATTCCTTGTTATATTCTGTTTCTGCATATAAACACACAGAGACACAGCATGTTAATTGTAAAAGTAGAGCACAATATATATTTATCAATAATTAACAATAATCTGCATTTTCTTTTATGTGCCATTATGTATATAGTATCTTTGACAGTACTAGTCATTTTTCTATTTTTTCAAAAAAGGAAGAAAAATGTTATTGCATTTTGTGGTTTTGTTAATCCTTTAATAATAGCTTATTCGAATGAAATCAAACTCACGTGCATTAAAATTAATATATATGTTATGTTTAACCAATTTAAGTATAGTGTGTGACTAATATCCACCCATATCTAGGGATTTTTCCTCTAAAAATGGCCCTACATAATTATATATAAAAGGTTTTCTTTCAAAAATAGACCTACTTTAAAGATTCTCGCAATCTTTATCCAATCAGCGTTTCCGAGTGTGTCGGCTCACGTATAAAAGGCGAATCCAACTCAAATCCATGCAGGGGTGTATGAGGTACTCGAATAGGAAAGAGCTCGTGAAATCTGAATTTATATGCACATGGTCAATGTTTACACATGTTTGGAGTTATTGAAGAAAATGTGATATGGGTGTGGTTCCGAATTTAAAGTCATTGCTGCAAAAAATGAGTTTAATACGTGAAATTATATCTATAAATACAGCACTAAAAATAACAGTACAGAAGTACATGTATGATTGTGTTCAGAAATGTTTGAAACCCTTACGGAAAATTCTGTCTGCATTTTGTCACCATTGCTCTTTCTTCCCGCATTCTAGTGCTGTTTGAATAAATATATTAATTAATGTATTTCTAACTAAAATTTATCACATTTTTTATAAACAACAAACATTTAGATCATAAAAAAATTGTTCAATACTTGAGTGAGCACGATATGCAAGGGTTACTAAGTTGATACAGTAAATGACCACTGATATTGTGTTAGTCCATGCACACAGCGTATTCTGCTAATACACATTACATTTGCTAACACCCCCACTTTCATAGTGAAGTGACTAATTGGTTTATGTTTACGTTTTAATGTGTTTTGGGTTCCTTGTTACAGCAAGGGGGGCCAGTAAAGTAGACTAACATGTTTGCATGGCAAATTTTGATCGAATATGTGAGACACTTTAGGTAATTTTTAAAAAACAAGACCTACTTCCAGCGATTTCTTTTCAAGAACAATACTAAATTTCAAATTTTTAAAAAGTAAACCCAGTTCTAGAGATTTTTCTCAAAATGGAACCACATCTAGGGATTTTTCTGTAAAACTTTTGCGGCATGTCCCCATATGGCAAATATATGGGAGTACCCCCTTGGGGTGATGACCATATCTCTAATATGAAGACCTCAGGCTCTCAACGTGAATGCTTTTTTCAGTCCCATTTTTTATGAAAACCTGTTAACCTGAACACTTTTGGCTGATCCATTGGTGATCTGATTGGACTTACTTGGGTCTCTAGCCAAATTACTTGGCTAGACTTCATGGCAAATGAAACACCGTAAACTTATGAAAAATTTTCCCTTAGACAAAAAATTTAATTTGAAAAATATTCTTAAAATTGTTGTAAGAATAGTCTATGAATTAATATAGTGATCACTTCTTGTGTATTGAAATTTTTTGTGAAGTAATAAGACCAAAACTCACAATTCAAATTGTGAAGTGAAAAAATGGTGGCTGGTTTGATTTCAAATTCTGTGATCGTGACGTGACTCATATACGGCAGAATAAAACATGCAGGCATTTGTGGTTCGCGTAAGACTGGAATACAGTGGAAGCCTTAGACGAAGGTAAGATTAGATGGGTTTTACCGTACATCAAACACATGTGTTCTATTTTCTCCAATGGGGGTAACACATCAGGCAGATAAACATCACTTCACTTTTCAAAAAATATTGAAAAATAAAGTATCGATTTATTGTGACTCACATCTGAATTCCTCCCTTAATAAAATTAAATAAAACAACAATCACATATTGAAAAGTACTTCTATTCATAATTTTGTAATATAATTTGTGTAATATTTTGTTATAAAAGAACCTTGTATCTTCTCTTACATGTTGGCAATTAGCATAGAGAACTCTAGTATGAATACAAGACTAAAGGTCCTGAGACATCACAAGAATAGAAACTGGTAATTAGTGTTTTGTGGATGTTTTGTTAATAGATTACATAACATCAGTAACCTCCTAATTAAAATAATGACAATCAATAAAAACCAGGTATAGTAATTGTTAGTCGAGTGAATGTTTTTTCTGCCAAATTCCAATATGGCGTTTTCTGCTCGGACATATTGGAAATGAGTCAAAACGGACGGATGACAGATCCATAAATAAAGGCATATGGGTGCATTGTAATGTGCAATGACCCGAGGGCGCCCCAGGGGAATAACCAACTAACGACCGAGAGCATAGGTCCAACAAGCCAGATAAAGAAATTGAAAGAAAGTGTGCTAAATTCGATGCCCCGAGTGGGAATCTAACCCAGCTTGCCTGTAGTAGCAACTTGCTATCAAGGGTCGTTACAAATGCATCCATAATTCATCATAAACTAAGATTTAATAAACTAAGATCCTTAAAATTGACCCCTTCAAAGACTGTATCATGTCCAACGTACGTGGGTAGGTGGGTATGAGGTAGGAGGTTTTTTATACAAAGCCTACAAGTCTTGATCGAAAAAGAAGTATTTCAGTGCTCCAATACTTGCACGGATTGATGATACTGATGTAAGACACAGTTAGAGACCAAAAGTAAGCCGCTGATCTCATTATTCATGTTTTAAAGTTCACAATTATTCAAATGTTCAGTGCACCGTGGGAAAGCTTTTATACCAAAATCCACATAGCTTTGGCAGGAAGTAAACTAAAAGATGTTGAGCTATAAAATTTAGTTTTAAATAAATTCATGATTTTTTGAACAAAAGTCCTTTAAAAACCACTTTTTGAAAATTAAAAAAAATTAAAAAAACGTTTCACATATCGGGTGCACCCCAGTTGTTCGAAACCCAGTTCTCCGAAACCCAGTTGTCCGAAACCCAGTTGTCCGAAACCCAGTTGTCCGAAACCCAGTTGTCCGAAACCCACTTGTCCGAAACCCATTACTCCGAAAAATATAGTCATAATTTACCAGAGAAAGGGGAACCGTACTAAGCTTAGGCCAGTTTCATGCCATGTATTTGGCCAAATTAATGGCATGGACGCATTCTGATGTTCATAGATCTCTCTCTCACTTTGAATTGCATCCATTGCACGCGTTACCAGAATGGCAGGAACGGGGGATTTATTTTACATTGTGATTCTAAAAAAAGGTTATCAAAACACAATATATATTACGGAACAGTTTATCTTATCTTCTTCAATCTCTTTTATATAGGCAAAATAAAATGAATCATTTTGAAACAGATAAAATAAGTTTAGGCTTACGCATATAGTACTTTAAGAATAAAACAGTATACATATTACGTTGTCAAAATATTTCGTCGCATTTAATTTCTTAGTCTCTGTATTTTATCAAATCGTAAAAGAACAAAACATTCTTAACTTAATCACTTGGGATCAACTGGAAACGAAGGCAGGCTGTCCTCGTATCAAAATGGATGTTCTCCCATTCGCAAGAAGTTTCATTTTCGCCATGTACTCACTTCATCCTTTTAATCTCTATTTCTCGAACAGAGTACGTAAATGAAGAATAAGTTTTGGTTTCAAAAGATGTACATGTCAACTTTACTAAATAAATACCCACTGGCTTGGGAAAGCTATTTTTCCTTTTATGAACGCTCATCACCCATTGGAAAAATGTTGTTTCCTCTCAAAAAAGGCCCATGGGCCATAAAGAAAATTGGTTTAAAAATTGTAGACCCCTATCTATGTATGTTGTGTAAACGCCATTTTACAATGAGAATAACATAATTTAACTTTGTTTGTTTGAACATCTATATCACCTGTATATGAACTTTCATAGGCTAAACATTTAAACAATTAACTTCTTGACTTCGCATATTTAGCCTAATTTTGCAATGATGTCAACGTTATTCCAATGTTATGTTGTGATTCGCAGAGGTTGCGACAACGAGATTCGTTTAAAAAAATTGTATTTTTCAAATAAGATCCCCTAATTTTCGGACAACTGGGTTTCGGAGAACTGGGTTTCGGACAACTGGGTTTCGGAAAACTGGGTTTCGGACAACTGGGTTTCGGACAACTGGGTTGACCCCTCACATATCACATTTTGGTAACATTGGGTTAGACTACAATATAAGCCAAGGTGGTTTAAACTTGATATGGGGCCTTTAAGGAGTGCACTTTGAGGACTTTATACTTTGCTCGAGTAAGCTCAAGTATGAAACATGCTGCAGAAACTCTCAGCTTTCATTGCACTTGTAGCTGTGTATTTGTATTTCACAAAGGATAATTTAGACATTGATTCTATGATAAGAGATGTTCTGGATGAGGAATATGACTATGTAATAGGTAAGCTTAATTTCATTTTAACATTGAATAGTATATATGCATATCTTTTTCACAAAGTGAAGGTCACATGTATCTAGTAGTGAGGTAGTAAGATTGTAAACAATATCTCTATGAACTATTTTGACTGTTTTAAGTTACTGTAACCTAGATATCTGTTATAGTTATTCAAGCATCAGGGCCGTCAGACACTTTTCTTCAAGGGGTAGCTGGGGTGCAGTTTTTATGAAAATGAATAAACTGGTCATTTTGCAGCGTAAATCAACAGTAGTTAAGGTTCGGGTGGTGGGGGGGTTGGTTACCCTCTAAAATGAACTCTTAATTTTGTAGTATGTTAATTGGTTGCATACTGTGTTTGAGCAATTTGGAGATATATTAGAAAAGGGAGAGGCCGGGATGGTGTGCATAGTTACACATATCCTGAATTTGAGGTTGTTTTGGAACGTTTTCCTCAAAGATCGCTAGGGTGCTTCAGTTTAAATATTAGTTTTTTCCCCAAAAATATTCTACTTTTGACCAATCATAGCATTGGTATGGCATTGGTCCTATATTTAAACATTTGGTATGGCATTGGTCCTACATTTAAACATTTGGTATGGCATTGGTCTTACATTTGGTATGGCTTTGGGCGTTATATTGGTTGGTATGGAAACACATCAAAATTTGACAAATTAGTATGGGAACAGATGGATATCTGAAGGTTCAGCCTATGACCCTCGCTGAATTTTGTACACATTGAACCTCCGGGATAAACCTTTACGAAAGATTACTTTCTATATTTTCTTCGCCCCTCGTATGTTTCAGTTGGAGGTGGTTCAGCCGGAGCAGTCATAGCTAACAGATTGTCAGAGGATCCCCACACCAGTGTACTCTTGTTAGAAGCTGGTGAGGCATGGTACCCTACAACCTCTCTTCCCATAGGAGCCCTATTCAACCTTGGCACTAGGATAGACTGGCAATACAAGACAATACCACAGAATCACTGCTGTCGAGGATTAAAAGATTCAGCAAGATTCTCATGGATTTAAGAAAAATATATCTCCAATTTATCATAGAGTATTATTGCACATAAATACAAGGCATTAACATGACAAAATGTCACCACCTAAAACAATTTGGTCAATTTAAAGCAAGTTGGAAAATACCTTTTGACCTTAAGAAGGTTTGATTTGAACTTCTTAGAACATGTAGATGATTTTGAAAAAAAAATTCGTCAATTTGAAGCAAGTTGAAAAAATACCTCTTTGACTTTTTTTGACATTGAGAAGGTCATTGAAGGTCAAATGTAAAGTCAGATTTGAACTTCTGAGAACATGTAGATGATTTTGAAAAAAAATTAGTCAATTTGAAGCAAGTTGAAAAAAGACCTTTTTGACCTTGAGAAGGTCATTGAAGGTCAAAGGTCAAATCTAAAGTCAGATTTGAACTTCAGAGAACTTGTAAAGTCAAATTTGAACTTCTGATAAGATGTAGATGATTTTGAAAAAAAAATTTGGTCAATTTGAAGCAAGTTAAAAACAGATCTTTTATGACCTTGAGAAGGTCATTAAAGGTCAAATGTCAAATCTAAAGTCAGATTTGAATTTCTGAGAACATGTAGATGATTTTGAAAAAAAAATTAGTCAATTTGAAGCAAGTTGAAAAAAGACCTTTTTGACCTTTTTTGACCTTGAGAAGGTCATTGAAGGTCAAATGTCAAATCTAAAGTCAAATCTAAAGTCATATTTGAATTTCTGAAAACATGTAGATGATTTTGAAAAAAAAATTTAGTCAATTTGAAGCAAGATGAAATAATACCTTTTTGACCTTTTTTGACATTGAGAAGGTCATTGAAGGTCAAATGTCAAATCTAAAGTCAGATTTGAATTTCTGAGAACATGTAGATGATTTTGAAAAAAAAATTTAGTCAATTTGAAGCAAGTTGAAAAAAGACCTTTTTGACCTTTTTTGACTTTGAGAAGGTCATTGAAGGTCAAATGTCAAATCTTAAGTCAAATCTAAAGTCAGATTTGAATTCCTGAGAACACGTAGATGATTTTGAAAATTTTTTTTAGTCAATTTGAAGCAAGTTGAAAACAGACCTTTTTGACCTTGAGAAGGTCATTGAAGGTCAAATGTCAAATCTTAAGTCAAATCTTAAGTCAGATTTGAATTTCTGAGAACATGTAGATGATTTTGAAAAAAAAATTTAGTCAATTTGAAGCAAGTTGAAAACAGACCTTTTTGACCTTTTTTGACCTTGAGAAGGTCATTGAAGGTCAAATGTCAAATCTAAAGTCAGGTTTGAAGGTCAAATGTCAAATCTAGAGACAAATCTAAAGTCAGATTTGAATTTCTGAGAACATGTAGATGATTTTGAAAAAAAATTTAGTCAATGTGAAGCAAGTTGAAAAAAGACCTTTTTGACCTTGAGAAGGTCATTGAAGGTCAAATGTCAAATCTAAAGTCAGATTTGAACTTCTGAGAACATGTAGATGATTTAGAAAAAAATTGAAGTCAGTCTAAACAGTATTTGTTAAGTTATAGGAAGTTGTAAGAAATTGTTACAGACGCCGGACGCCAACCGCCGGACGCCAACCGCCGGACGCCAACCTCCAACCGCCGGACGCCAACCGCCGTCGCAAAAAAACGGAGACCATAACAATATGTCACCACTTTTGGTGGTGACATAATAACCTTAGTTAAAAGGAGTTTCAAGGTGGAACAGCTTTTCAACAGCAGCAATTCATAATATAAATATATTGCTATGAAATCTTTAGAAATCTTTTTATGCCTATCGCAAATTAATAGGGGAAAATAACTGTTGTACTGGAGCCAAATCTTTCTCATAGTTTGAAAACAGCTTTCAAGGCCAAGTGCAAAGTCCCGGTGCATAGTTTGAAAATATTTTTTATGATTGAAAATTATTATCTATTGTTGAAGTTGAAAACTTTCAATATTTGTATTTCCCATCATTCTGACAACAAATGTTAGGATAATCCCCGGGGGATAATCAGACTATCAAATATTTGGCTGTACATTTGTACTCGTAAATTGTAAAACAGCAATATATGCAGTGGTCATTTTTGAAATTTTACTTGTACGTAGGTGCAAAACATAGCGAGGGGAAAAGTCTTAGGAGGATCCAGTTCAATTAATGCTAATTCATATGTGAGAGGGAGCAAGCATGACTATGATATGTGGGCAGAGATGGGCAACACTGGATGGAGTTATGAGGACGTGCTTCCTTACTTTAAGAAATCTCAAACACAACTAGACCAAGATTTAAAGAAATCAAGTAAGAAAACCTTTATTTTCCATTTTTCTAACGTGGATTTTAGTTGAAATAGAAAGGGGAAACTGTCAGGAATAAAGATATTATAACATTTCTTTAAAAAGTGACCCCCCTTGGCAAATCCTGGTTACGGGGCTGTGTAGATTGTTTTAAAAGAAAAAACGTGGCATGCAACAAATACATACATAATATCTATAAAGGCATATGTTGTAAAATCCAAGAAATGATGTTTAATTCATACTGTGCATATTTCTTGTAACAGAATACCACGGGCACTCAGGACCTCTACATATATCTCCTGCACCTAGACTAGAGGGAACAAAGTATGTATACAAGGCAGCAGTTGAAGCAGGCCTTGAAACACCAGAGGATTTTAATGGAGAAGAACAACTAGGTAAAACAGTCTTTCTTTCAACTGACAATAAATAATTTATAATCGTTCCAAGATCAAGTCAATATAGGTTAAATATGTATGTGTAATATGAAAACAAATACTAAATGTGTCCAAAATGACCCAAGTGAAAAAACAGCTTGACATACCACTCTAATAAACCACTAATAGACTACCAATACTCAACTAGTAGTAGTAGAACATGTTCTATAAGTGATTTGTTAGTGGTAACTTTCGTTAACAGACCACTTTTTGCCATTGATTTAACAGTGGTTTATAAGTTGAAAAAATTACCATGCAAATGAGATAAAAATTATTGACCAATCATAGAGCATGTAATACTAATACATCACTAATACACCAATTATACATCACTCCTGAAGTCTCAAATATTACTAATAGACCACTAATACATCACTCCCTAAAGTCTTATACACCACATCCAACCAGTCACCCTTTTGGTTGTAATGCTACATTTCATTGTAGAATAAATTCCCTCACATTTTAACTATTTCCACCATTTAAAAGTGGTTTCTCATTCTAAATCAAGGATCAGTTTTAATACACTACTAATAGACCATTCCAGAAAAAATCAATTTAATACACAACTTACAAACCACTCCACCTACAAAACCCTTACAGTGGTGTATTAGTTGAGTATTGCAAGTTTTAATACATAACTTACAAACCACTTGACTAAATCACTTTCCATGGTGTATTGGTGATCTATTGGTGATGGTTTAGTTTAATTATTATTTATATCATAATTTCATATGTGTTTTTTAAATCAAGGTATGAGTTTCAACCAAGTGAATGTAGACAGTAAAGGAGAAAGATCCAGTACTGCAACTGCCTTTCTCTATCCAGTTATGCACAGAGAGAACCTGCATATTGCAACAAAGGCCCATGTCACTAAAGTAAGGTTTTTCTGCAGTATTATGTTCGAGACACCAAAAATGAATAACAAAGTACAGTGAAAAGTCAAAAAACTATATGCTCCCTGGAAACACTGACAGCTCCATCTGTCACTATATCTTATACAGTAAAACCTTAAGGTCCATTCACACAGACAGATCCACAATTTAGTTTATACTCAGCAGAAAGGGGTTCTTTACTTTTGAAGATGCTTACAGAAATGCAATAACTGTCAACATCGAATGTATGTTATTGTAACGACCCTTGATAGCAAGTTGCTACTACAGTCCAGCTGTAGTGGCTTAAGTCTTGACTTCTGAGGGTCAAAGGGTCCTAGGTTCGATTCCCATGCCGGGCATTGAATATAGCACACTTTCTTTCAATTTCTTTATCTGGCTTGTCACACTGTGCTTGTTAGTTAGTCATTCCCCTGGGGCGCCCTCAGGTCATTACATTGGTGTCAGAAGTGGGATCAAAGCATTGGTTGTATCCTTTGCGCCCGTGTGTGTGTGGTAGTCACTGCTAGGGAAAGCAGGGCTGACCACGAGGGTGTGGTCCTTTCAAAGGGGGAGATAGTGTAACGACCCTTGATAGCAAGTTGCTACTACAGTCCAGCTGTAGTGGCTTTAGCCTTTATAGCTCAGTCGGTAGAGCATCAGACTTCTGAGGGTCAAAGGGTCCTAGGTTCAATTCCCATGCGGGGCATTGAATTTAGCACACTTTCTTTCAATTTCTTCATCTGGCCTGTCACACTGTGCTCGTTAGTTAGTCATTCCCCTGGGGCGCCCTCGGGTCATTACATTATATTGTGATTCTCAGGAAGTTCTGGGAGGGGGGCCTTTAGGTCAACTCAAGGGGTTGACAGGCAGCAACATTGGTTCTAACAAAACACAGCCATTGTCCCATACATCCAATGGTGCACTAGACTGGCTTTGGGACCACTTCAATGATAACATGATCAGCAGAATCAGAGATAATGAATGGGCACCCACAGCCCAGACATGATTACATTTTACTTTTACCAGTGGGGATACCCAAAAGATAGAGTGAAGGAGAATAATGGCAAAACAACATCAAACCTCAAAAGTGTCATTTAGGCCATAAATGTACTTGCAGAGGAATGCAATTAGGTCATTGACAACTTTGGACAATGTGTGCAGGTTTGCCTACAGCACGATGCTGACCAACTGAGTGGGGCAGTGAGAAAATTCCTACAATGACAATGATACGGGGAAAAATAGGGTACCATTTTTTACCACCCAGTATTATGATCATTCAAGAGGCTTATAATGCCATAAGCTGCTACAACTGTTTATGTTTAATATATAAAGTCAAAATAAGTTCTAATTTGAAATTTATTTGTATTTTGTATTTAGGTGCTTCTAAAAGGGAAGAAGGCTGTTGGTGTGGCATACATCAGAGACTTGGTAAAGAGAAAAGTGAATGCTAGAAAAGAGGTGATACTTTCTGCAGGTGTCATTGGATCACCACATATTCTTTTACTTTCTGGTATTGGACCAAAAAACCATTTGGAGGCAATGAATGTGAGTATGTTATGGCCATCTATACATTTTTTGATATGTTTCTTCGTATTTTACCTCCATACAAGTGGGATTGGTTCTTTTACATTTTGACATTGAGAAACAGATCTTATGTATCTTAGTGAAATCGTCAAAAACACAATTTTCTGAAATTTGCATTGCTATTTTAGCCATTATTTGAGTCATTTCTGAATTGCTAAAGCTGCCCTGTCGACCCTCACGCATGGAAAAAGTGAAATTACGTATTAATTTTGCTTGTATCATAAATGTCAAGCAAATCACGCATTATGCATTATGTTGATATTTAAAAAATTCTGCATTTTATAAAACACCGATTCAGCAAAAAATGAACGCCAAAAATAAATGAACACATTCCGTTCTGACATTTCACGCAAATCCCGCAAATGTCATGCATTTGCTTCAAAAATTCTTGAGCCTAAATCTTCAAGTTGTTGATGATAAGCAAGTACACAAATGTTTCATACATTGAACACTTTATCTTCAAAATATTCCTTCATAATTGAGAAAGTTATTTCAAAATAAGAGCGTAACATTTTTTGTGTCACCCTGTATATAATTATGAACCTGGCATTATAAGGTCAATGTGGATCCAATAAAATGCTTATATGGTATGTAAGGTCTTGTACAATGTACATGGAATAAGCAGTGGCGGATCCAGTGGGATCCATGGGGTCCGCCCCCCCCCCCCCCTAAGTTGGGCCCAAAAAAATGGCAGTAAAAAATTGGGCTCCGAAAATTGGGCCCTTGGTTTGCATTCTGGGCCCTAAACAAATGAAACTAGGCCACTATAATTTTCATTCCGGGCCTTAAATGAATATTTGGTTGTTAATAAGTTTATTCAATGCCCAAAATTCATTTACAGCGCCCCGACTTTAATGAAATTATGAAAATAAGGGCCAAAAAAATTGTGGGCCAGACATTTTTGGGCCCTTATTTTGAAAATTTGGGCCCAAAAATGTGAAAATTTGGGCCCAAATTTGTAAATAAAGGGCGCAAAAAAAGTTTACGCGCAAGTACGGAAGTTTTTATTTTTCCTGGATCCGCCACTGATAAGTTTGGTACAGAGAAACTCATAAGTATTATCCTCTCTTAGATCCCAGTGGTTGCAGATTTGCCAGTTGGGGAGAATTTACAAGACCATGTTGCAGCTCAGCATATCAACTTCTTTACTAAAGCTCAAACAATAACAGAGAAAGACATTACCTCTTGGCAAGAAAGATGGAAATATTATTTTTTTGGGACAGGTATTTTTTATTATTCAAAAAAAGTAGTACAAAATAATAAATTCAATATAAATCAGATAATAAATACATGAATATAACGGGACTACCATAGTCTATAATCTCAACACTGTTGTGTTGCTATATGTCACAATAATTCCATGTCAACTCCCCTCAATATTTCTAGGTGTTAAAAGGAGCACTGTAACTGATATGGTTTACTTCATGAAGACTTCACATCAGCCAGCTTTCCACAAATTCCCATATGTACAAATGTTCATTAATGCAGCACTAATTGGAGATATATGGAAAGATGTAATAGGGGTCCGTGATGAGGTACGCTTTAATCTAAAAGATCTCCACGTGGATAGCTCAAACTGCAAGACTAATCTTTTGTCTTAAGTATTTCATATTTAATAAATTTAAATATCTGAAAGACTGCTGTATGATGAACTTTTATATTCATATCTATTCAAGTTTTAGCTTTTATGGTATTATATTTTAGGTATGGGACAGTATGTATCCACATGAAGAGTATGATGGCAAGATGGGTCTCAGCATTATTGTTGTGTTACTCCACCCTCATAGTAATGGGACCATCAGATTGAGATCAACTGACCCATTTGATTATCCCCTGATTGACCCAAAATACTTGGAGGACCCAGTTGATGTGAAACATTTAGTAGAAGGTATATATTATACAACTTCTACATGCACATATGAAAAAAATTCACATAAGAAATCAGACAGATTTTAATATGTGAATCTAAGTTTTTAACTTTCCAGTTTCCCTTCCAGCTTTTATATTATCATGATCATATATCATAGTGCTGGAGAAATGAGCAATTCCATTGGCCACACTGGTCATGTGAGTCAATAAGAGTTCTATTATATGCACAGATAAAGTCAACTACATTCTGACAGTCTCACCTTTTTTACAGGAATCAAGGTTGTGACTGAAACACTTTCCAAAACTCAAGCATTTAAAGATGGGGGATTTCAAATGAGTGCTAAACATCACCCATTATGTACCACACATGCATTTAATAGTGATCCATACTGGGAATGTTATATTCGTGCAACACCTCTTAATGTATTTCATCCTACAAGTACTTGCAAGATGGGCCCTGAATCTGACAACAACTCCGTTGTTGATCCACGATTAAGGTATTCAGATTTATAAAATGGATTTATTTTATCAGCTCAGACTGACTAAGGACATTTACACTTTCATGTTTTACAAATTCAATACAAGTATTAAACTAACGTGCGAGTTAAGGCCATACTTCCAGCCAAAAATACTCTTCATGTTTTTAGTGCCAATAGATTGTTCTCACTTCAAAAGGTTTCATGTATTTTATCAAAGGAGCATTGAGCAATTGGTACCAAAATTAACATGGCAGAGTTAAGATTTGATTGTGACATAGTATAGCACTATAATATATGCTACAGGTCTACAAATATGTTGAAACTTGAAATAACTCTAACCCTACAACCGAACTACACTATTGCAAAGAGGGAATCCCAAAGCCAAATATTATTGTATTATTTTCCTTTTCATCAAAATATGACTTATCTTACACAGTGAAATGGTGATTACTTGTCTTTATTTTAAAACAGTAGGTCAAGTTTAAAAAGTAGGTTAAATTGAAGTAGGTAAAATTACTGATATGAACCCTGAGAAAACAGTAAAACCCTGGAAGCTGAAAATGAATGTGATACTTCTCAACATCAGTGGCAATATTCCCTGATTTGGAAACCATATCGATGACAAGGCTACTGCACATTTTTGACAACAAAAGTCTAGCACTCACCTGGTAACACCCCCCCCCCACCGTGTGAGAAGGTGTGTAGTCAAGTAAAGGAGGGGTCACAGAGGCTTGCAATTTGCCTTAAAATGCTTTTTATTTGAAGCTTCTAGCTCAATTTTGAAGGAAGTTACATACATTTTTGTAAATTCAAAACAAATCTTACACGTTTTCTAATGATCTAATTATGTTATATATTCGTATTTTTCGTTTTTTGGGTACCCAGTTTTTTTGACCGGGTACCAGGTACCAAGTTTGAACCCAGCATGGAGGACTTACTACCCGGTACCTGGTACCCAATTTTTCTACAAACCCCAAAATTTGACCCAAATCCATTCACTCGTATTTGAGTTATCAAAGATAACATTTTTTACGAAAAATGGCAGCCATTTTAAAGTTCAGCCGCCATCTTGAAAATTCTTTCTTGAACAGAGCTACTATATCCTTCGGTATCGGCATATAAAATTTGACTGAAATCTGTTTACAGTTTGAATTATCAAAGATTACATTTTTTACGAGAAATGGTGGCCATTTTGAATTGAGTGGCCATGTTGAAAATTCCTTCTCGAGCAGAGGTCCTACTCCCATAAGGCATAACCTTATAAAATTTGAATCAAATCCGTCAACTGTAATTTGAGTTATTGTCTGGACACACGGACGAACAAACGGATGGATGGACGACTTCTCTATATCCCCCTGGAACTTCGTTTGGTGGGATAAATAAGGTAGTGTTGTTTTGATGTTAATTCTAGTTATTTATTTGTTTCAGAGTAAAAGGAATTGATAACCTGAGGGTTGCGGATGCATCTATCATGCCATTCGTCACCTCTGGGAATACTAATGCACCATCTATCATGATTGGCGAGAAGGCTGCAGATTTGATACGAGGAAAAACAACAGTCTGAAATATTGTCACAGTACAATGATGATACCCAACCATTATAGATATCAACCTCAGAGACCTCCAAATGTGTAACTAAAGGATCTATTTTGCAAATGGAATTCAGAAATTTATTGTTTGACTATGACGTCAAGGTAACTTTAGAATTAGAAACTCCTGTTAAATAAAACAAACTTACATGTGCCTTGGTTTCCTCCTGCAAAGATTAGATCCATTGCATATTCCAGGTCTTCTGAAGCAAATTTAGGAGATCTTGACGTCATATGTATGACATCTACAAAGATATGAAAAGCAGCTCAATGTTCAAGAAATCAAGTCAAAGAGAGACTGCATAGTGCATACTGTATAAGTGCTATGTACATGAAGAGCCAGAGTTGTGCAAGTGACAAAACGGATAGTCTTACAGGTGAACATGTGAATTTTGATTTCCAACAGATGAATTTTTGAAATTTTTGAATTCATAACAAAAGCTATATTCACTTTCTATTGGGTAAAATGTAAAAGATTAAGAAAACAAGGCATTTTAGGAATCTGCCCAGCCTTATGCTATTATGCAAAACATTGAATCAATACAAAAATTTGTCTCTACACACAATTTGAACTTACACAACCCTTCAGGGCAAGCCATGAGTGGGAGACAGCTCTAGCTCTAGACTGGGTGAGGGTGCTGCTTACTGGGGGAGGGGGGCAGATGAAGCAGAGAAATCTAAACGCATGAACAAACATTCAACTTACCATAATAACTTCAAAGTAAAATGTGCATTAATCTAAGCTGTCCCTCACTACTTACAAGGCATTTACCAGCTTGATGTTAATTATTGCAAAATTTTACAGACACTGAACTCTGATTGCTGTCTCCAAAAAAGTTGCAGACCATAACATCATGTCACCACCTCTGATTGGGGTTTTCGTAAAACACCGACCGCCGACCACCGACCACCGACCACCGACCAGTCACTCTCCACAGTTGGGTACATGTGGTCGGTGGTCGGCTGGCGGTCTTTTACATAAAGATGAAAAAATGCAAAATTAGAAGTAAAACTAAAACTGGGAATCCAATGACTATAGTACCTTTACTAGGTCGTGATTTAAAAACATATAATTATCATTTCAACTCACGATGAAAACGTTACATCGTCGTGGTGTGTAATGTCATATTTTTAAGTGATGTTTCAGTTGTTAGAAGACCAATTTCATCTTGGTTAGTCACTTTGAAAAAAACGCACGTAACATTGCATTAAGTTCATTCTTCATTCATATGAAACGCAATAACAAAAACACACAAACATCGTCGATGTTGACGTCGTAACGTTATGTTTGATTTCTCAGTTGTTAAACGTCAACTGGTAAAAACTACATTTGATAGACTATGACAAAAAAAGCTTTCTAATGGTGTACTGAAATGGTAAGTCACTTTTAATCCCGATAAGAGAACGCATGTAACATTATATCGTGTTCAGTATTCAGTAGGCTATGACGATAACAAATCATTTTTGTTTCGAAATTGTTAAATTTCAGTAGAAAATTAGGATAGATTCCCGTAGAAACGATAGGTTGGTTAATGATAGGTTAGGACCTAAGGCAGGACAATTAATCGAGAGGAGACGGTCATGACCTATTTGTTTGCTTGCCATTCGTTGCAAGGTACAAAATCGGTAAAAAACGTTGCCTAGTCCAACGATTGACATCCAAAATCAAATTATTTATATTCTAAGGCTACAAATATGTTCGGTCTTTTACATGATATGGTCGGTCTTTTACACATTTTCTTCAAACCCTGTTTTGAGGCTACCAGTGGAAAACACCGACCGGTCGGTGGTCGGTGGGGTCGGTCTTTTCCGAAAACCCCCTCTGATTGTGACATAAAAATGAGAAATGTTCACAAGTAACTTGAACATGAAAAAATGAGATTAAAGCCAATACTTCCAAACTATTCACTTACTTGTATTTGATAGGTGCCTAAATATTAGAGCTAACCATAGTCAATTTTGTAATGAGATGATGTAGAAAATAGATGAAGTCAGAGTGAAACAGGCAGGGAAGCAGGGGCCATGCCTAGGTAAGCAGATGCTGTCCAACTGTCCCACAATTTGCATATTTATCAGGCGTTTGCTGGAAAATTTGAAGTCACATCAGTTATTTTCGAGTGACAGAATATGTCACGCAAATACACATTTTGCCTGTTTATTGTCAAGCAAAAATATTCCTGTGGAAAAACTTCAAAAATTTGAGAGTTTTTTAAAATGTTGAAATCAATTATTTGGAGATATTACGAACCAAATTGACATGTTCGGTCCGTGAAAGACTAAAGTTTGTGTCGCTGGCAAGTGAGATTGGTTTCAAGAGTTTTAAATTTAAAAAGTTATGACAACTTTTGTCCTTTTTTCACGTTTTTGTAAATGTAAACAAAGGAGGTTGGGACCCTAAGGCTTTTTCATTATTCTATCGACAGAGATGTATTTGGTGTCTATAGAAAGTAGAATCGGTTCCCTAGAGCATGTGCTATACAGTATCCGTGCGAACTTGCTGTGAAACATAATCTCAATTTCCGTAGGACAAGGTCACCATTTTTCATGAAATGGTATGATTTATTCCGTATAAATATCAACAAAACCACTAATACGGACCAGAATAAACGGGACTGTGTGTATGCACTCATAGTTATCTCAAGTTAACTCCAGTTATCCTTGAAAATTTGAAGGTGATATCTGTAGCAGTTTTGGAGAAAACTGCCAGACTACGGACGTACGGACAGATGGACGGATGGATGGACAGACAGACAAATGGATGGACAGACGGAAGCGCCTAGGCTGACAATATGGCCCAGCACTATATGGTGTGGACATAAAAAGCTTATAGATCTATAGTCTAGTGTAAAGGTGAAAACAAAAAGAGGGATGCCCAGAGAGGAGGGAAGTTTCTTGAAGCTGGATACTGAGTATTCAGCTGAACATTAGGTGAGATACTAAACCCATTAATGTGATTTGAAGAATCAACTGATTTTTATGTTTCATTTGTGCTGATGCCCTTTTAGGGCCAAACGTTATCGAATTCTACGACCACTTTAGATTGTGGTCGTACGTGCGTATAATTGGTCAGTCAATGTTTTTACAAAGTTGGAGAAAATACTACGCATTGCACACCTAAATGACCTACCTCGATACATTCCTTAGTATTTTAGAATTCTTTTATTGTAGTTGAATCACCAATTGTATGGGTTTATCGGCAGAACGAAGACGTTTTCGTTTTTGATAGCAATATTTGCGTGTAATATTTAACTTATTTCAACCGTCAAATTCCTCCATTCAGTTCCCGGCATGCACCAGTCATAAGGGAAATCCCTGGGGAATTCCCCTTCCGACATTTTGAAAATTGCTGATATATTTCCGATGTAAAAACTAAAATCTCTTCGTTCTGCCGATTAACCCATACAATTGGCGATCTAACAACATTATAAGAATTCTAAAATACTACGGAATGTATCGAGGTAGGTCATTTAGGTGTCCAACTTTGTAAAACATTGACTGACCAATTACATGCGCGTACGACCACAATCTAAAGGGGTCGTAGGATGTGATAAGGCCAAACGTACACATACAACAAACATTTATGTGTGTAGATAGATATGAGAATCTTTTTATAAAATGCTGATACGGTAAAAAAATGAACACCTCCCATTGACGGAGGTGTCCGATATTTTGACCAGGGTGTTCAGTTTTGAACCAAGGTGTCCATAATTTGAAGGAGGGTCTCAAGTTAGGCGTTCCCCCAGGGGGTTCACTGTATATAAAACTCGACGGGGTCCTAGGCTGAAGCCTCAAATATCAATATGTTCCCATACCAATCTGTCAAATTTCAATATGTTCCCATACCAACCAAAATAACGCCCAAAGGCCATACCAAATGTCCAAATATAGGACCAATGCCATACCAAATGTCCAAAAATATAGGACCAATGCCATACCAAATGTCCAATTATGGGACCAATGCCATACCAAATGTCAAAATGTAGGACCAATGCCATACCAAATGTCCAAATATGGGACCAATGCCATACCTTAATTCAAAGTAAACCAGAACAACGGCAACGCCAAAGCGTAGCGAATCCCATCGAACAGAAATGGCTGGCATTTTTACAAACGAATAGCAAATATCATAAAACAACACACCAGAAAGGCCACCATTTTCAAAATGGTTGCTCACTAGCCAAGTTGTCATCAGGAGGAATAATATGCTTTTAAGAAGCCACCTCTAAAATTTTTAAAAAATCGCACACGTACTTGTAAAATAACACACATAAAAATGGTGGCCATTTTTCAAAATGGCTGACTACTCCCCAAAGTTTTATAAGACGATGTGCCATGCTTAAAGTATTCACATATCAAATATGAACAAAATTGCTCTACTACTTTTCGAGTTATAGTAAAATACGTTAACATGGAGGCCATTTTTCAAAATGGCCACCTTCTACCAAAAGTGTCATTAGAAATAGACAGTGTGCCGTGCTTAAAGTATTCACATACCAAATATGAACAAAATCGCTCCACTACTTTTCGAGTTATAGTAAAATATGTTAAAATGGCGGCCATTTTGAAAATGGCCGCCTTCTACCAAAAGTGTCTTTAGACAGTGTGCAATGCTTATAGTATTCACATACCAAATATGAACAAAATTGCTCCACTATTTTTTGAGTTACAGCAAAAATCGTAAAATGACGAGTAAAGGCCGCCATTTTTCAAGATGGCTGCCATGTGCTTCTTTAATATCTACATTTGTAGCATTATTAATGTCCTTTATAATTTTTTTACATTTAAAACATATTACTATTACAGTTTTACATATTGCACCTAAATAACTGTAAAATTGGCACTAAAATGGCCGCCATTTTGAAATGAGCGGCCATTTTGAAAATCGGCTTTCGAGCAGAACTTCTACCCCCATAGGGTATATGTGTACAAAATATCAACAAAATCGGGCCAACAGTATTTGAGTTATTGCCCGGACGGACAGACAGACGGACGGACGGACGGACGTACGTACGTACGTACGGACGGACGGAGGCGTTCCCTATATCCCTCCGAACTTCGTTCGATGGGATAATGAAATATAGGATCAATGTCATACAAATGTGCAAATACAGGACCAATCGCTACCATAAGCTTCAAATCGTTGGAAATCAACCACTTTTCGAATCGAGCGTCCATTTTTCTTGGCGGCAAGTTTTGTATTGAAATCACGAAAAATCTAGCGAGACTTCATCAAAGCCTATGATTGGTCCTCATTTCCCGGGAAAAGGGCTAAAATTCAAAAGTTGAAGAAGGCCCTGGAAAAGAAGATACTTCGGGAAACGATCCAAAACAACTTCAAATTTGCAACTACTGGACCAATGCCATACCATGAATGTTAGGTAATGTATCTACAACGACCATTCTCATACCAGAAGAGCAAAAGTCCAACCATTGCCATACCTCAGAGGTCAGAAATTTCTGGGCATTCCCATACCAAATCCTAAAATATGGGTTCATTGCCATACCAAACGTTGAAAAAGGTACCCCACATGCGCCGAGGATCCCCGTCAAGGTTACTCACGTGGAGAGCTACCATGTTAGATTTTGAAAGTATAGCTCTCCATCGTGAGGATCTCCAGCTGAAGAACTGTGACATCTAAATTTGATCAGCGCCATTCAGCGGCTTACTGTTTGTCTCAAACTGTAGCCTACATATGGGCTCATATGTGTCTACTTTCCCCGTGCATGTAGGATCGCGGATGTGTTTCTATGGCGATCAGGAGTTCTAATCTTCATTGTTTGATACCCATTTCCAATATGGCGGTTAAACGGAAATATTATCGACGCATGCGCAACTTGGGAAACGTCAAGCCGCCATATTGAATATACCTGGCCAAAACTTTTGAAACGACCAATAAAATGAAGTCCTGATCGATACATAGGGCAGTGAGACATTCTATAGTTGAGCTGAATGAAAGATGGCGATGTAGGATACATTTTCAGGTATATAATGTGCAACATGAGTCAGCTGAATTTAACCCCGGAATTTTCTTTGAAGTCAGGATTCTTAAGCTGTTGATTCTAGCGATAGAGAGCTATACTTTCAAAATCTAAGTAGCTCTCGACGGGAGTAACGTCAAGGTTTATATATAGTGAACCCCCCGGCGTTCCCAAGTTTACAGGCCTGGAAATTTCTGAAGAGGGGGGGGGGTTGTTGCATTGGGTGGTGACTCCCCATGTCCATGGAATTAGTGTCATTATTATGTGTATGTGTTATCTAAAAACTCGTCTGTCACAATGAAGCAGGTTTTGTAAACTGTATAGTGACAAAATTCATTTTGTTTTGGTTGAAAATTCATCAATGGAGAAATGCAATTTCCAAAAACTGAAAATCAGCAAAAAATGTCAGCTTTGCAGTTTGTTATATAACGAATAGTCATAAAGTACATATGGCAATACAGCTCCTCTAGAAAACACGGTATAAATAAAGTTGATTTTTGAACTGACGACTTTGAAAATCTATAAAATAACAAGATTATCTCACCTTTCGCTTGACTGGACTGGTCATCATGACCTACTGCAGAGGGCGCTACTATGCACGTGGTTAATATGTAAATATTGCACTCACTTTAACATTTTATATTAAATTTACAGAAATGCAATGATCGATGGTATTTGGTACACATTTCAATGTCTATATATGGAATAACAAGCAAAATCAATGGTAAATATAGGAACAATTGACACAACAAGCACAACCAATGCTATAGGAACAATTGACACAATTAATGCTTTAAGGTCAGGGTGCATGTTGGGAAATTTTTTGCATTCCTCAATTGAGTCACATGTTATTTTTCAAACAAGAATCACTCCTTCCCTTCATTGTCTATATATCTTCCAGTTTTGCACAAAGAGTGCACTTATGTGCCTAGAAAAGACTTGTGAGAAGAATGTTTTGATAAAGTGTATAAAAAACAAGAAAATTCAGTGAAAAAAAATCAGAAAATTTTCAGAAATTTTTTTCACTGAATTTTCTCATTTTTTATACATTTTACAAAACAAACCTTCTCACAGGGCTTTTCTAGACACAGAAGTGCACTCTTAGTGCAAACTTGGAAGATGTAGACAATGTGGGGAAGGAGTTATTCATGTTTGAAAAATAACATGTGACTCAATTGAGGAATGCAGAAAATTTCCCAACATGCACCCTGTCCTTAAGAACAAGCACAACCAACACTATAGGAACAGCAAGCACAATCAATGCTTTAGGAACAACAAACATAATCAATGCTATAGGAACAACAAGCACAACCAATGGTATAGGAACAACAAGCATAACCAATTCTAAAGGAACAGCAAGCACAACCAATGCTATAGGAACAACAAGCACAACCAATAGTATAGAAAAACAAGCATAACCAATTCTATAGGAACACCAAGCAGCACCAATGTTATAGGAACAATTGACACAATTAATGATTTAAGGACAAGCACAATCAATACTATAGGAGCAACAAGCACAACCAATGCTATAGGAACAAAAAGCACAATCAATGCTAAAGGAACCAACAAGCACAACCAATACTATAGGAACAACAAGCAAAATCGATGCTACAGGAACAATAAGCACAATCAATGCTATAGGAACAACAAGCACAATCAATGCTATAGGAACAACAAGCACAATCAATGCTATAGGAACAAAAAGCACAATCAATGCTATAGGAACAACAAGCATAATCAATGCTATAGGAACAACAAGCACAACCAATGCTATAGGAACAACAAGCACAATCAGTGCTATAGGAACAAAAAGCACAATCAATGCTATAGGAACAAAGAGCACGACTAATAGTATAGGAACAACAAGCATAACCAATTCTAAAGGAACAGCAAGCACAGCCAATGCTTTTGGAACAATTTACACAATTAATGCTTTAAGGTCAAGCGCAATCAATGCTATAGGAACAACAAGCACAACCAATAGTATAGGAACAACAAGCACAACCAATGCTATAGGAACAACAGGCACAACCAATGCTATTGGAAACAAGCAAAACCAATAGTATAGGAACAACAAGCATGACCAATTCTAAATGAGCAGCAAGCACAACCAAAGCTATAGGAACAATTGACACAATTTATGCTTTAAGGACAAGCGCAATCAATGCTGTAGGAACAACAAACACAACCAATGCTTTAGGAACAACAAGCACAACCAATGTTTTAGGAACGACAAGCACAATCAATGCTATAGGAACAACAAGCACAACCAATGCTATATGAACAACAAGCACAACCAATAGTGTAGGAACAACAAGCACAATCATTAATCAATGCTATAGGAACAACAAGCACAATCAATGCTATAGGAACAACAAGCACAACCAATAATATAGGTACAAGTACAACCAATGCTATAGGAACAACAAGCACAATCAATGCTATAGGAACAACAAGCATAACCAATTCTAAAGGAACAGCAAGCACAACCAATGCTATAGGAACAACAAGCACAACCAATAGTATAGGAACAACAAGCATAACCAATTCTAAAGGAACAGCAAGCACAACCAATGCTATAGGAACAACAAGCACAACCAATAGTATAGGAACAACAAGCATAACCAATTCTAAAGGAACAGCAAGCACAACCAATGCTATAGGAACAACAAGCACAACCAATAGTGTAGGAACAACAAGCATAACCAATTCTAAAGGAACAACAACCACAACCAATGCTATAGGAACAACAAGCACAATCAATACTATAGGAATAAGCAGTCAATGCTAAAAGAGAAAATACAGGTACGATCATGCAGTGCTGCAAGACAATATAACACAATCAGATTTCAAGGAGGGCTATTGTACCAATCCTCGGGGCAGACATAGATAAAGAATGGCAAATGGATTGACGAACAGGCAGAGTATTCTCGATGTAAATGAACACAGCTGATGGTTTACAGAATTAGCTGAAAATAAAACACAAAACAAAATATTTTGTTCAATTTGATTAAATTTATTTAGTTGATCTTCATTAAAACTATGTATATGCTCATATTGCATAGCCAGCAATAGAAGATGTGACTGCACATGCTCTTTAACTATAAACTATAAACTACACTTGTTGAGTAACAAACATTTCATTTTGGCATTGACATTTTGACCTTTAGATATTACATTGACCATATATGATCAAGCCATTATGAGGTATTTATTTTTGATTTTGCTGACATGCTTATTTTACCTTTTATGTTAGTCTCAGATTTTACACATGCTTGTCATACCTTTTTTCTGAATATTATGTTTTGGTTTTACAGTTGTTTTTTGAATCAATGCTTGTCTATTTTGCAATAACACCACTGTAATACAGATTTCACCACTCAGAATAGCTCAGCACCAAAGGTTTTATAAAAAAAAAATATATATATTTATAAATTGAAGATGATTGAAATGATTTCATACTAGCATGACATCTATACTATAGTTTGATTACTTACCCGTGAAAGAAGTGGTATCGATATGGAGAACTTTTTGAACACATGTTTCTCTTAAACCAGTCATAAAAAAAATCTAAAAATTTAACACATCGTCAATTTAATGGTCATCTTTTGAATGGTAACAATATAATTTGAAATATATATAAAATTTAAAAACTACTGAGGAAATATAGAAACATGTGTAGTTTTTAAATCTTTTCATATTTTGTTATTTATCTTTTTATCATATATATATATATATACTTTCATCGATATTGTTGTAGAAAACACATCAAACACTTGTTTTGTTCTTGGTATCATGTTTCCAGAGTGAAATGAGACATCTTTCCGAACCTCATTGGAAGAAAACGACATAAACACAACATGTTTAGGTCTCTCAATATTGTAATTGTACAAAGGAAATTTTGGTTGATTTTAAAAATGAATCTTGTTAATGAAATAAAAGGTTTATCTTGATTTATATCTATTTTGGGGGGATTTTGTTTTAATTTTTTGAATACTTTTTTAAAATCAACCAAAAATTCCTTTGTATAACTATTATATTGAGAGATCTAAAAACATGTTTTGTATGCTATTTTGTTCCAACAAGGTTCGAAAAGACATTTTATTTCATTCTAAAGAATTGGTAGAAAGGAGCAAAAACAATTGCACCAAAAAAAATGTTAACAAAAACAGTTATATAAAATATTTCTAAATAATTTTCGCATTAAATTCAATCAGTCAACATTATATAAAATACCGTGTTTCTTACAGAATGTTTTCAATTATTGGTTTAAGAGAAAAACATTGTTGAATTCAGTTCTCCATTTCGATACCACTCCTTTGATGTACTGACTTACCTATACACATGTATTGTGAATGTTTGTTTCTGTCATGCGGGTTGAGCAATTTTAAAAATCATTATTATACATTGGGTAGAATACATGGACAGTGGCCACCATGATTTTAACTCTCTTTTTAAATAAAATTATGATAAACTAACCCATCACTTATCTTTGAGAAACTTATACCTAGTGAGTCTCGAATAACATATTTACTTCAATATTTGATAAATTACCTCACATCTTTTCTCAGTTATAAAAAAAGTATCGTTACTGACACCTCTTACATGTTTATTGCACAGATTGCTTCCATCAGACACCTTGATCCATCCTTTGCTGTTATTGACTTTAAGCATACATTCAATTGAAAAAATCAGGTCGTTAATGCATGATCGCTTGCAGCAAGTATATTATTTTAAGCGTCAGCTAAATGGTGGTAGAAATAATTTTTAGATACAGATGGCAGTGCAATCTGTTTTACAATCAATTCTACCACAGCTGCCATCTTTATATTGACCTAAAACCTATAGATCAGGTATGATTGCCTCTAAGAAAATAAATCCAAGTCATCATCTTTACTTTGTTCATTGTCTTGAATATACTTCATGATATCATCATCATCCATATCACCAAGAGAGCTCTCTGGGTTAGGGGCAAATAAACTATCATTGTCTTTCATTGCTTTTGGGGCTTCTTTAACAACAGTTTGTTTAGTGGCAATTGTAGGTTTGTCTTTAATATCTGGTTTGTTGGGAGTCTTCACTGGTTTCTGTCCAATTTTAGGTTTGTTTTGAATAGTTGGCTTGTCACTAGATTTGGGTTTAGGACTAATGTTTGGTTTTACCCCTAGTGGTGGCTTTTTAGAGTCCTGTGTTGGTTTTTCAATTGGTGTAGTTAGTAATTTGTCCAAGTCATCTTCAATACTGGAAAAATACATGAAAACACATAAGTTAAGCAATATACATTAACACTGAAATACTTGTTTAAGATGTTTCAGAGCAAGGGTATGCCTTTGAGCACGCCTCTTTATCTGTGATCTGTGAAAAATGGTAAAATATGGTGCACATTTAAAAACCTGCTACATGTTCACTTGGGCGTTATAATTTTCATAAGCTAAAGGGTAGTAGACATAATTTCTAAATAAAGATGGCAGTGCTATCAATCATTTTCACATACTATATAATTCTACTACTGCTGCCATCTTTAAATCAGCCTAAAACCTATGCAATTTTTCCGTGTAATTTTCATATCATATCATATTGTATCATATATATAGGGTGACAAGGACATCTATGTAGAAACAAACCCACATACTTCAAAAGATCTGAAGAATAATCCCCATCAGCAGCAGCAGGAGCTGCATCTGCCTTATTGAACTTTTCTTTTACATCAGTGTCTCTGATGACAAATGATGCAAGGTCATCATTTTCTGCTATCCCACCTCCAAAGTCTTGATCATCGAACAGTTTAGTTTCTGCATCTGGGCCTAGAGTAAATATATAGGGGTTATGCACTGGGAGGTTTTGGATACAGGGAATATCCCGAGGGATATACAATATATCTTCCCGAGGGACCGAAGGGACCGAGGGAAGATATATTGTATATCCCAAGGGATATTCCATGTATCCAAACCGACCGTGCATAACTGGTGTATCTCATACTTGAGTGGGTTTAGGGTAGATATAACCTTTTCCACCTTTTTCAAATATATATTTAACATTTTCGTACTATTCTTTTTGTTCAATACAATGAAATTGTAACATTTAAACTTAAAAAATTTAAATTTCAAAATTAAAAAATCAAAACTTTTGATATTTAAACTTTTTTAAACTTTTGAAAAATTCCTGGGAGCGGGATGGATATATTATATCTGCCCGCATTTGGCCTGGAGCGGGACATATACAATATATCCTGCCCGCTCCTCAGATACGATATATATTCCCGGGTGATATCTACCCCAAACCCACTCAAGTATGAGATACATCATATTACTCTTAAGTGATGAAATTTGTAGTAAGGATGATGTGATCATTGGTTGTATTCATCTTTATGGCTAATTTATATAAAACAGATATTTCTGCATACTGTAATCTTTGCTTAGTTGGTACTTCTTCACTCTGCAGATACATTGATCCCAATGACAATTTCTCGAAAAGAGCACACCACGATAGTCCAAATAAATATTAATTCCAACATCGCTTAACATTTTAAGCTAAGAAAGATACCTATAACAATTGCGTTTAAATATTACTTTGGCATTCCATTAGCTTATCATTCAACTTATAATTTCTGATCACACAAAAAAGTGTCCAATTGCTAACACTTGAGGAAGAAAGACATTTATTTTATATCATTACTGAAAATATTGATAACTAAAAACGTCTCATAAATAAAAAAATAAGAACAAAACATTTTAAAGTACCTGTTGAAAAGGCATTGCCAGATTTAAAGATGTCATCATCAATGTCTCCAGAGCCAGGTACACTTGTAAACATGTCATGTTCAGGTTCATCATCCTCGTCAAACAATGAACTCCTAAAATGTAATTGTTAGTTGGAAGAACAATATTAGAGGAAGTTGAAGTAAGTTGGAAGTACAATTAAAGCATTTTCAATAATTATTACAATATATGACAAAAATGTAAAATTGTCTCAAATGTGGCAGTTGGATATTTTTCAAAGTTTCAGATAACAAATTTCCAAGGACTGAACTCGATGTTTCACAAAATATGAGAAAGGATACACTAGATTGATGTGTTCTTTATATGTGATTGAGCCTCATCATAATAAACCATGACATCTCATAAATTCCCATTTCTTCTCGGCCATAAGATAAGAATGATTGAACCTAATTTCATAAATACTTTTTGGATCTTATTTTCCAATTTAGCTTTGCCAAGGGGCCATTTCTAGCTATGGGATACTATTATGCTGGTCTTTTTTGGTTTGGAATCTTACTGTTTCACTTCTTTTTGTTGCGTGTCGGCATTGCCTCCTTCAGTATCTCCTTCCTCTTTTGCATCTTGGTCTTTTGTGACAGGTTTCTGGTCCTTCTTAGTGTGGAGGCTGGCTCTCATTGGGTCAACACCTGATGCAGAACACACAATTAATATAACTCTTTAATTGCAATAATTAATAATTATGACTTCTTCAATCACCATTACTTGTATGTGCTCAGAACGTTAAACATATGATTAACTTTGAATGGCCTAACTTCATAATCATGAGTTCAATCACCATAACTCTATAATCACCCTTAGTTTATAATTACCATTAGTTGATAATGACCTATTTACTAGTTAACAGTATTCAATTCAATTTTTTTTTAATCCAATTCAATTTATTCAGTAAAAATCAATGATACAATGTTTCGTACAATGCATGAAAAAGAAACCCCTACGGCGTATACATTTCATGACTCATTAGGTTTTCAACTATCATGTTTAAGTTGTGAGTTAGTTATATTTTATTGGACGATTCATAAACATGCAAATACACATTCTTTTAGGACTGTTACTATGTCTTTCTCATGCAAAGTTATTTTGATTATTTCATAAAGCACTGCCATGAAAACCAGTTTGCATTACATCAACTTCAATGTCTACCTGCTTTATTAAAGAAGGGAGTGAGATCTTATACAGGGTGTCCGGAAAGTAAAGATACAAATGCTCTAATTTCAATAGATTAACCTGTTGTGAGATGAAATTGCTACAGATTGTAGAATGGAATTGTAACTGATCCGCATACCCCTCACCACCATTACCATGACAACTGTAACTTCAACACGTTTAGACTAAATGTTATAAAAGTTGGTAGATGTATTGTAATAAAGTTCCTCTACAATTTGCAGCAATCTCATTACAAAAAACCTAAATCTCTCAAAATTAGAGTATTTGTATCTTTACTTTCCGGACACCCTGTACTTTGTTCGTCTCTTAGGTGAAGTGTTGACAATTTGAACTTAGGGGTTGAGAGCACCTTATCATTTAAACAACTTACCCAAGAATTCTAAGAAAATAGGATGGTTCACCAGCTTTGGGACTTTGTGAATGACTTTTAACAGATGGTCCAGAGCATTCCTTCTTTCTCTCGCGAGTTTATCACTCGTAAATAATGTTTTTGGTGGCAGCGGTGGGAGGATCGTGCCAGGGAATGCTGCTGTCATCTTTTTATGAAAGTCATCGAAATCTCCCATTGTCTTTTTAATCTAAATAAATCAAGAAGGGTATTCCAAGTAAAACACATTGTTTATAAAAATCTTCAAGACTCCTACAAAGTTTGATTTGGTTCTGACAATCTAATTAGACTAATTAGGTTTGATTCCCACACAGGGTGTTGAAGAATGCAAACTGTCTGGCTTGTTACATTACACTTTGCAATAGTCACTACAAAGAGGCACCCTCCCGTTATTACATAAACATGTATTCTTTTAATTCGAGTTATTTGATAAAAATGTTAATTTTGATTTAGGAATTATGACTTACCATGAATTGCACATTATCAGTTTCTTTATGTTTTGGTAATTTGAAGCAATCTAGCGACGTCACCACCACCACATGGTATTCAATAGTTGATGTCATCTTCCCAGAAATCTCATTGTGATTTGGCACACTGATATCTAGTCCTATATCCTTGTTCTTGATTTCTCTACAAAAAATCATGGATCCATTAAAAAAACAAATAGGGAGTTTGGGAATCTCTACAATACATTATATTGGGAATTGAATTAGCACACTTTCTTTTATGTCTGGCTTGTTTCACTATGCTCGGCAGATGGCTAATTCCCAGAGATGCCCTCAGGTCGTTGCAGTAATCAGCAAATGATTGAATCATGTAAACTGATGATTAGGAGGCATTATGGGATCCACAGCCTGTACTATCCTTTGGGGTACTAGCTGTCTCTCACAAGCTTCAGAAAGAGGGACATGCATAAGCGTAACCAGGGGGGTGCGATCTTTTTGTGAAATTCAAATCAAATATCTTGTTTATGCCAAAATCAACCCCCCCCCCTTCTGACTGAAAACTGAAATTTTCTAGCGATCGCATCTCCCCCTGACTGAAAGCTGGCTACGCCCCTGTGGACACGGATCTAAATCAGAATGATGAAAACTGTCACCACAGTGAAAATGCACTAGAAATAAACCTTTTATCTCTTAGACTTCTAGGTTTTTTCACCAATAGATGTTACTGTCAGGTGTTGATACATGATAAGTTCCTGTCACTGTCACTGGGCTTTATCGTAGCTACTACATGTGTAACATAGGGTAAGGGGTCACTGTGTAATGTTTTCTTATACAACTTCATTTGTTATTCAGTGGAAAATGGTGATAATCCGTTACATTACAGTTGGGGACAAAAATAAATGACAGGTCGATTTTCGATCACCATTTCCTAATTATGGTCGTCTGAAAGCCCATAATTTCCAATATTGTCTAGATATATATCCCTTAAAATTTGTATATTTCACATTTTGTATAATCTCATCCACTGATGTATGGCCTCTTGTAAATTCTCTTATTTTTAACATGGGAAATTCTCACTTCAGCAAATCCACCTGTCATTTATTTATGTCCCGAACTGTATGTCATGTGGTCATCAATAACAACGATAAATAGTGAAACACAAAGCACATAAATTACTTTTTGTTGTTGTTGTTGTTGATACCCGGAAGTAAACTCTTCCATTTTCGATTACTGTTTTCTGATATTTTCATGGATAACGTGCACATATGAGCAATCTAAAATAATCTTCTTACCTAACTGTAACTGTTACAGGTGGCATGCTTAGTTTATGAACATCAGAACTAATACAATCTGTCAATTATGTGAACGTACAACATGGTAACGCCTCCTATATTAGTGTTCTTTAAAAAATAGTCTCAAAACCAAATGTATTAGACAATACAATTATATTAATGATAAAATGTGGTAAATGGCAACAAAAAATAAATAAATAATTTTATTTAAGATAGACAATCATCATACTTGTCGATTTTAACTGAGTAATATATGATAATTGAATTTACAGTTTGTGTGACATAGAGCGCCATTTTTAAATGTAAACACGCTGAAATGAAAATGGGTTTTGTGCTAAATCTTTGATCTATTATCTCATTTTCAAGACGATGTTTGTATTCGCAGGTAAACATGTAGATGCATAATATATCAGGGATGAAGTCGACAAAACAATATTAAATATTTAGCCAAGTTAGAGGGAAATATTTACACAAAATTACAAAAATGTTTTTTTTGTGTAGGGCCTACAGTAAGCTTAGAGTCCATTTCACTGCTTCATTTCGTCAGTAGAACGGCAAAAATAAGAAATTGGGTGACCATTGTGCAATAATATATGGAAAAGTATATTCATGTACATGAATGACATTTGTATATAAAGTGTGTGGCCTCTTATATTTGGATGTTTCTCTGCCATGTTATTTTCAATAAGATTAACATGTCTGAAATTCTTCAAATTACAAGACGGCACAGGCTTATTGCACAAAAAACTAAAAAATCTGGCAGCCGTAAGTCTTGCAATAGATAGCATGTGGATTTCTACAGACCTCAGGTCACAATCAATTGCCTTTGGCCAAAATCAGATACTAAAGTGGGGGACAAAACTAGATCTAAACCTCAACCATCAAAAGTTGTCACAATGAGCTAAATTCTAAGTTTCGTGTCTCAAACTCTCCCAAGTGGTAGAAAAATAATTCCCATTCACTTGAAGCTCAGCTTGAAGTAACACAATAAATGAATCCAAAGCTTCATACCTGCAAATGATGGATAAATCCCTACCAAATCGAATGAATGTTTTCATGAATCGCCATGTTTGTGATCCAAGGAGGATTGACTCCCACAATGCAACATCAGTTTACCTTATTTACTCCTAACAGGTTTCAAAATCGCGAAGCTGCATTTTGAAAGCTGGCACGTGTCATGTTGCATTCTGGGAGCCTATCCTCCCTTCAGTGTAATCGGGCTCCAAAATCACCTCAACATTTGAAGAGTCGGAATTAACATGTAAATATCCTCTTCAACTTTTTAAGTTCTTATTTGTCATTATGGACACAAATTCCACTATATTTGGACTTACTAGGACGGAGAAAATAGATCACTGAATATACTGGGGTAAGAATTTATTACATGTGCGACAGCTTGTAATTTTCATAGCTATAGCAATTCTTTATGTCCCCCACTGTATTTATAAGTTCATGGATTTATAAATAGGAGGGGCTGTCGACTTTGACTGTCTGAGTTAAAATAGTGTCACTAGAGGCAGGGAAGTTTCCATAATAATTTCTTGAATTTTCAGAAAACATAAACAATTTGAATATATAGCGCTACTTTGTTGTTGATTTTTTTTAATCCCCACTTATTTTTAAATTATTGAAATGCCATAAGCAGTGGCATAGGAACAATGTACGCCACAACGCAAATGCGTAGTGTTGAAAGTGAGAATAAAAAAGGCTTTTTAATTTCCCTCTTCTTTAGTCATATTTTCTCAATGTGAATAAATTGAGTTCATAAGATATTCATAGTTACCTTGTTTCTAATACTTTGGAAAATGCAAAGTAATCATTATTGCTCTGTTTGGTAAACAATCATTTACAGGTTGAATTCCCTTTCCAGCATACCTTATTTTATGAAATTCGAACCACTATCGACTATCTTACGAATTTTTAAAAGTAAAATACAGTTTCAACATGTATTTGCAAATCGCGTTCTCTTCGTGATTTTGAGAGAAAAATAGTTTTTCAAAAACTACTTGATGAATATCTTTGCATTTTTTGTGCATGTTCCATAATGTTTATATGCAAACTGTCCCATCTTTATATCAGCCTAAAATCCATGGTTAGAATATGATTTTTAACATATTTTTTTCTTTCAGCAACTCATCAAATAGGGCTAGATTGAAAAATTACCATCCAAAATCAGTGTCACAGAAAGACTTCTCCAGTCAAAGATGGCAATTTGCCATATAAAGGTACATTTTACACTTGATAACAGAGATCTTGCAGTAAGTTGCTCATCCAAATATTTTTATTGCACTGTAAAAATTAGCAGTTTTACAGTTTTTTAGCATTATACATTTATAGTACTTTTGCTGACCTTCTTTACTGTTTTAGCTATGTGAATCCAACCCCACCCAACATATATATCACCAGTGTATTCAGTTCTGATTTAAATATATTTCTAGAGAGATTACCCAAAGTGAAAGACGATATGGCTCAAATTGGTGTCGAGCTTAACCAGCTGAAGAACTGCATTGAGATTGTCACTGGCTACACAGGTTACCATTACTGTCACGTTGGAGAACAGTAGAATAATAGCAGGTATGAACAGTAAATTGTATTGTATTGTGTTTACCCTATAATATGAGGTTATATAATGGTTGATTCTGTATATCGTGTTTATACTCAAGTGAGTATATGATATTTTCACGAGTGACCGAAGGGAACGAGTGAATATATCATATACTCACGAGAGTATAGCGATATACAAAATCAACCATTATATGATCTTATTATCCCACCCTAATCTTTAATCAATAAGAGGTTAATCTAAATTCAGCAGTTGTATATCGAGTGGAAGAGTTGTATACGCTGCCCAGGAGTTGTATACGCTATCCAGGAGTTGTATATCGTTCTCAAGAGTTGTATACGATGGGTGTTGGTTTTATATTGCAGTTATACAATGCTATTATACAATCATATAAAGCACTTAGGGTGGGATAAACTGATTTATACCTCTTCATTTGGGTATACATGTCTTGTATCTTTTACAGTTAGATACCTGCATATGCATCCATGTCTATAAGGTTCAAGGCTTCTTCCAAATTTTGCGAACTGGCGTTTTTAATCTTTTGAAGACCAAATGAAAGAAAATTTAGTAAATACATGTACAAATGTAATTCTCTGCTTAAAGATATATTATGCCATATTAAACACGTTTCTCTACTGAACAATAAGTGATGTCCCATTATAATTGCTTATACCGTAGATATACAAGGGGCGATCCATATATTCTGATAAAAATGCTCTCATTCTGTGATTTTTTCACATATCCCTCTCATATTATCAGAAAATGTAGATTATGTAATTACACATACAATGCTAAAATATTATAGCTATGTCTTAAATGATTAATGAAATAGGGTTGCTATGGTAACCTGTATTAAGGGTAGGCAGGTCAATCAAATTAAAACATATAAAATATCATAATAAATTGTTATTGTAATTATTTTAAAGCATGCGGAAATCAAACATTTTTTTCTAAAAAAGTTTGGTATTGTTGCTCGTTGTTTGTTGCTAAACAAAAGTTTATTTGTGTTCACTATAACATCACAACAACTCACAATAGCAATGTATGACAGAACTAACCAGTTAACATTACATGTCATGAGACACACCAAAAATCAAAATGTCAGATGAGGTAAGTGAGGCTGATGCAGAGTGTGACATTAACAGATACATTAAGAGTACCATTAGATTTTATGTACTATCAAGAATAAGTAAGAGAACACTGTCAGAGACATATGGACTTAAATCTATGGGCAAGGTGTTATATCTGCTTAAAGAATCTATAGGTATTATTGTAAAGAGGAAGGCATGGTAATTGTTGAAGATCATCCACAATCTGGTTGCAAGAAGAGCTTGTGGACAGAGAATAACACTACGATAAATTGAGCTGCAACTTATGAAGAGAGAACTATCCCACTGTAGAAATTAGCAAATAAGGGCAACAGGTGTATGGAACAGTTCAACAAATAGTTGGCAATGACTAGAAAATGCGTTTGATGTGCTTAAAATAGGTACCGAGAAAGGATTAAATTAAAAAAAATTATCTATTTTATACATTATAATTTAACTGACCTGCCTACCCTAAATACAGGTTACCATGGCAACCTTTTTTCAAAATTAATTGAAGATATAGCTATAATGTTTTAGCATTGTATGTGTAATTACATGATCTACATGTTCTGAAAAAATGAAAGGGATATGTGAAAAAATCACAAAATGAGAGCATTTTTATCAGAATATATGGATCGCCCCTTGTATCTTTACACCAACTTATGGGTAAAGTATTGCCGATATATTGAGAAAAACAACAGGACAACAATTCAATGGCAGCAATCAAGAGAAAACCCTTTCCAGTGACATGAGCACACAAGCATCGGGAACCTCGGCACGTGCCTTGAACCAGGCAGTCAATCAGATTTAAAGCCTGTTGTTATTTCCTTTTAGAATTTCCAGGTTGATTGTCAGTTGTGGCCAACTTGCTATTTTGATATTTCCATGAGAGAACATAAAGGCAAAATGCTTACATTACCAATGTATGTGTGATGTTTGTTACTTAAGTTAGTCCACTGTTTCAGATTCAGAGGGTGTATGGGGAACCAGAAGTACAATATAATTTTTTTAGATGGAAAGCTAAAATGCGCTTGCTGATGATTTGAAATCTCATTTTTTGCATACTGACAAAAATGACTAAAAATCAACATACAGTACTATAAGCCCACATTAAATCCTGCTATGAAATAAAGCCAATTAAGAATTTTACAGGTACTGTTTGAGACAATTAGTCATCTGGAGATTTACTGCCACATGAGGTGAAGGAACTTGTAGCCAGACTAGTGTTACTCTCCATGCAGACATACATATTGAACATCGTTGAAGAAACCATATCCAATATGAAGGTAGGTTATTGATATTTCTGCATGTGTGAACAAAACAATTACCTAGGATTGAAAATGATGAATCCATCTAATATTGGATCCCTTTCTGTCTTTATCCACAGATCTTCATTGGCTTGCAGCTTAAAATGCAACACAACAACAAGACAATACAAAACCTAGTCCACTTAAAAAGAAAGAATGGTACAGTGACTGCAGTCACTGTAATAATTTACACCAGTGAAACTATTTAAACCTACGTTTTCAATTCAACATATTTTCAAATTTCAGACAAACAATTTTCAAAAAGGCCCAAAAATGAATGAAAGAAGTTGTATTTTAAGCCCAAGTTGAGAAAAAGCCTAGCCTGAAGTATAAAACTTTGGAACTGGTGTAAAAATGGATATTTTGAACTTTAACCACTGTTTCTCGCTTTCTTGAAAATGCTGATTCGGGATAAGAAGTTCTTGGAAAGGGCACACTATTCTAGTCTAACTTAAACTCTAAGGAGGGTGGTTTCACTTAACCCCTGTCTAGGCTGAGACTTACATGTAGCAATGCAAATGACAACAAGGAAGTTGAGTTTAGAACCAATGACTGTTTAGCTTCTGTAATAAGATATTGACTCATTTTGAATTCTAGATGGAATTCCCATTAGGGAAGCTGTTCAATCAATGGGTAATCTGTAACCTAACTTCAAATTTTGCCTCTTGATGCCATATACACTTTTTGTTAGAAATATTTAATTATCCCACCAAACGAAGAGGGATATAAAGAAGCAGTCCGTCCATCCATCTGTTCGTTTGTTCATCTGTTTGTACATCCAACTGTTAAGGCTATAACTCAAATACTGGTTGCAAGATTGGGTTCAAAGTTTACAGGGTAATACTATATGAAGATAGGACCTCTGCTGCAGAATGGATTTGTAATCCATTTGATTTGGTTCAAATTTTATATGCGGATGCCTCAGGGACAGAATATTACAGTTCACAGATAAGTTCACTAAAAATGTGTAGCTTAACCTTCTTACTAATTATGTCTCTTTTAACTACATTCCCCTCCATAAGTTTGGCAACAGAAATTCATCTTTTGAATCACTTATCGAAGCCTATTTATGTTTGGCAATTCTAAAAATTTGCCATAAATCTTTCGTAATTATAAATAAATCTATTGTAATTATAAAAGAACAAACATTGACATGCTTTTATAGTCTATCCAATGAAAACTTCCAATTTCCAAACTCATGAAGGGGAGTGTAAATGTAGTTACCGCTTTTCTTGACCTTGATTAGACTGCTAAAGTGCTCCACCAGGATAAATAGAACAAACCGGTTGTTATCAATTATTTCTAGACAATCAGGAAAGCAGTTAAACCTAAATAAGGTCCTCTGTATCAGAATTTCTATTGAGAGATTTATTGCTTTTAGTGCCCTGTTAAGGTTGAAGTTAAGGTAGTTTTTCACAGAAATTGTGCAGAAGCCTTCAAAATACAACAATTTACTTCCACTGAAATTGTATAAATAAAGCTAAAATGAAGAGGATTACTTCACATAGTTCACTGGACTCTCAGAGACAACACTGCATCAGAACACTGAAGACTATAGTTTTTTGGAACAATTGAATTTAAAGGTAAGCAAAATTACATTCCAGTACAGTGAAACCTTCAATAGCTGATTAGTTTCTCATTATCAGAGTTTATGAAACACAAGTTTATGTTTTTGTAGTGAGAAAGCACATTTGTAAATCTTACATAGTTTACAAAACATTGTGATGGTCAGGCTTTGATCAGGCTATTTATAGCTCCAAACACTAATAAATAAATGATTTAAATTTGTATGGCATATATTCCTTTTCCTTAAATTCAATAACTACTAATGTTTTGCAGGTATTAAGATGAAAGCCACTATTGCCTTCCTCCTTCTGGCCGTTGTTGCCTCTTTACACACAAGTGATGCCTGGAGGGTACGTCTCCCAAGACTTGGTCTCCGTCGTATCATCGCACCAGTCTGCAGTATGTACTGTAACCAAAAATGCACCCTCCCAGGGATCTGTGCTCCTGTCTGCCACAAAGTCTGCAATATTGGGCGTAAACGCCGATCAGTTGCCATTAATGATGACGAGAAGCCATTTTCTTCTGATCTCTCCAAATATGATTCAGACAATGACGACAGAGTGACCCTGACAGAGTTTGCTGAAGCCATCTCATCAACACCTGAAAAGTGCATTGAAGCCTTTGGAATGGCTGATGAAAATGGTACGTTAAATTGTGATGTTATTGCTAAATTAGTGTTTTGAAAGAAAAAAGTATCACATTTGAAACAGATTTTTTAAAGTTTGAGGGGTATAAGTCAGTATCTGATAATCAAATCATGCACATTAAATGAATATTAGTTATTACTGCAAGTGGCAGAATATATATACAGTAAAACCTTTTTAAATGGAACACCATTCAATTATGGAACCTCTTAAAAGTGTTCCACATGGGAGGTGCTCCACTTATAGAAGTTTATTTAAGGTTTAGTCACCTGAAAAGTGTTCCACTCACAGAGGTGTTCCATTTGTAGAGTTGTTTCACTTAACAGGTTCTATAACTGTATATGTACAGACATGTGATTCAATTTTTGGGATTTAGATTAGTGTTGTATTGAGCCTTTTTAGAATATTGTGAACAAGCATTTCTACCTCATAAATTTCACCAATATACTCTAGTTTCAGTGATTCACCAAAAGCGGTAAGTTTTTATTGGAAATATATATTCTCTAAATGATTCTGTCTTTAAACTGATTTTCTGTGTTTGTGCTTCTAGATGATGGTATATTGGATATGGGTGAGTTCCTCCGTGGACCATTCCACTTCACATCTGGAGAAGTAGAACAAGAACAGGATACACCAGATAGGATTGGAAAGTATGCAGATGATGATTATTAAATCCCAAATGAAATGTGGAAAGTGATCTCAGATGACGATAACCCGTAATGGACCTTTTATAAGTGAAAGAATTTTAAAACTGAAGGCTGTGATATGACAGTGATTAAATTATACTAGATATAGGAACAATTACAGTTAGTGTTTCTCTCATCATCTCAAATTTATGTTTGAGATATCTGTATTAAAGATGAATATTTATGTTATATTTGTACTACTTGTTATTAAAACATTGATCTCAAATTGATACACAATTTTTTGCAATTAAAAGTCAGTATTTGTTATCCTAAATGACGTTAAAACACTTTGAAGTCAGTATGATATGTGATTTTCACCATCAAAAGACGATGATATAACCTGCTTTTCTGGAATTATCAAAGTTTATATAGACAGTGAATTCATTTAAACATTTATTTCATGTATATTTGTTCTGCCTCTAAAGATTGAAAAGGCGAAAGTTGTGAAATTCTGTTCATTAATATTTGAGCTATTTTTCAAGATTTTATATTTTCAGAAGAACCAAAAGTACCAATCTTTTTTTATGATGCTATCTTCAGATCATTATAATTAAAAAACATTTAGGATAAGAATAATAGTATTATATAATATATAGGTGCTTATTTAAATATATTGCATGTATATTTTTATACATATTTTTGTGTAAAAAATAAATACATAAACCTCAATCATATATTTATTATGTTATATTTATTCACTGTTAGTCAAATAACGTTAGGAGTAAAAATCTATTGAAAGTACAACATCTTTCATGTAAATACAATACTCATTTAACTTCAGTGAAACCTTCATATCCAAACACTGATCAGAAAATCTCTCAATGTGAACACTTTTTTCAGTCCCAATTTTGTCTCATAGACACACTTATTAAGAAAATCTTAAAATATAAACACACCTGCTAGCCCTAACACTTTTGGCTAGTTCCAGTGGGGTTTCGGATATGACAAGTTTTACTGTACTTTAAGAAAATTTCTAACAGTGCACCTAAATTATCTCAAATATAAATACAATAAGTGTGTGTTTGTAAACTGTGCAATTCACATCAATTGTTAAATGCATACTTCATGTTACATGTACCATTGGATGAATGGATGGAGAATACAAACTTCGTAAATAAAACTGATCTTTGCAAAAATCTCCTCAAATTTGTATTTGAATATTTAATTAAAGAAAGTTTTGTACTCATTTCCATCAAGCAGGTGATTTGCAATTAAGAATCCTTTATCATTCCATATTGAACATTTAAAGCATTCATGTATGCAGAATCTCTTAAAGATAACTCAATTGGGCAGGGCCCTCATGCTTTTAATTTGTAGAATACAGAACAATATAGGATACTTTATTTCTTACATGAATAGTCCATGAAGCTAACATTTCAATAATTTTGTGTGCAAAGTGTGCAAAAATATCTGCCAGCAGACTGTTGATTGCTTATGATTTTGATTACATATAACGTCTATTAAAATTTCTAAATAAAGTCATAACATGAGTATGAATTGAGATTTTTTGTCCAATGAGCACAAAATTGACACTTTGAACTATCATCATTATCAAGATATTTCTAGTTGTAATGTATTTATTACTTTTTTGAAGTATAAATGACCAGAAATATCTTTTTTGGTCTAAGTGTACCTGAAGGTATCCTGTCTTTATCAGATATGGACAAACTGTCAATTTCATAATATTATGAACATTTTAAATCAATCAAATACAGTGCTGAGAGTCAGATTTATGTTAATCCAAGGTTAGCTTTTTAGATAGTCTATCTCTTTGATGTACCATGCATCTTGCCCTATATATCCCTTATGGAAGAACACCAGGAATTATACAAGGATGTGGTTGGCATAGAGATCTAGTGAAGATGAACCAGGAGTGCTAAAGCCATCAGTATCATAGAAGCTGTAGCTGTTGTCCTCGCATTACTATTATCAGCCAGGGTGCTGTCCTCTTCTGCAGCCTCCTCCTCAACTACTACAACTGAACTGGACGCTGCTTGAGCATACTGAAAAATATTTTGAAATAAAATGAAATTGTATACCTTTTTTATGTTTTGATGTGTTGTTTGACAGTTTCAGTCATTTTTTCAATGGCATCACAATCGAAATATGTTATCACTGATCAAGTATTCAAGATTTGTCTTCAGATTGAACATTTCTAATTTTCATGAAATGTGTGTATTAGGTTTTATAAATGATTGAAATACCTCAACTCCAAGATTATCACAGTCCAATTCACATTGGCTTTGTCTATCTCCTTGTCCACTACATGCATCTACGCAACTAGCTTGACGCTTTCTGCGCCTGCGTCTCTTTGCTGAGTTACCAATGATTTGATCCTCTGGACACCCAGTGACAAACATACCAGAAGATACATCCAGGAGTGATTTAGAGATTCGTAGCAGAACCACAGGGTAGCTATCACTGAATGAACACAATAAATTCCATCTGTTATGTATGTACAAGTACAAAGTGCTACAAGTACAAAGTGCTAAATGAAAAAAAACTAAGTGTTACAGAATAAAAATCATCTGCAGTAACAGTAATTACAGGACATTATGTAATGGATAAACAATGAGTCTTGGGGATTAGGATGAATAATAGCCAAGGGGCAAAGCCCAGAGGCCATTATTTTTCCTAAGACCCAAGACGAATTGTTTATCTAACTTAAACCACACAATGGGCACTAACTCTTATCAAAGGTAAGTGGATCAAGATCAATTTTAGGAAAACTTGATTTATGTTCATGTAGAGTATAGATATGGCCGTGAGAGTCGTACATGTAAAATTATTAATATAAAATTAATATAAATAAATATTGAGCCAATTAACACAAAACACAATACCTTGGAAAATAATGGCTAATTTAAGTTAATTAGCTACAAGAGTTTACAATTTGACATAACTGTTAATTAGCTCAATTGGATATATTATAATACCATCTCCAACTCATCTTCTTGGGCGAAAATAAGGCTCCAACTGGTGGTGTAAGCTGGGGAAGGAGGTGAGGGAAAAGAATCGAAATGTATAACTTACATTGATGTTAATGGATTTTGTACGCACCTAGGGAGAAAACCCTCCAACTACAATCCTATCGATATCTCGTCTAAAGTCTCATCTCGTACTCTCGAGATCTGAAGCTTGATGTTTCGTTCAGTGTAACTTACCAGAAACATTTACCTGGGATAACCGGGGAATGGTCTTCTTAGGGCTTGTTCATACCTAAACCTTAACCGACTCTCACATTGCCATAAATGAAATTATTGTCAATAATTTGAATTTGTTTGTATTGACTATGAGGTAAGTGTATTGGGAAGTGAGTGGGTGTAATTAGTTCAGCTTCAGTGCACTGCATTTAACAGGGCATATATAGTTTTAAGTTTGTTTCTTTTGTGTTTACTATTCAACTATTGAAAGAGTGAATAGGGTATAATTAGTTAAGCTTTAATGCACTGCATGAAACGGTCAATCATCTTTTGTGCCACACTGGTTTTGGATAGCTATTGCCAAGTGTACATACTTAAAAAACAATAGAAAAATAATACATTGCTCTTTATTATAACTGGATATCCTTATAAATAAAACACAGGTCATTCTATTGTGTTGCTACCTAAGCACTGTATGTACAGTGATCGTCTACTATTAAAAGTGCGTGATCAAAGACTCGACAAGATGCGCAAAATTCAAATATTTTGTAACGGTTATTTTCAAAAGATTTATTTGTGTTTATATTACAGGCTACTGGTTATTCAATTAGCTTTTGTAGGCACAGGAACACCCTTATGCTTTGAGAAATATATATCAGTTTGACCATTTTTCGTAAATGTTATTGATTTTACGATGTAAAGATATAAATGCGATGTAATATGTGTTATTTTATTTAAAAAAGCTTAAAAATATCGAAAACAATTGAACATTTTTACTCTCTTTATTTTTAATACTTAGGTAGGGTCTTTGGCTTCCATTTGACCATGATGAAATTCACGTTTCCTCTTAAATAACATGGAATTAATATTCTAAAACAGAAACGAATGGATCAGCCAGAGCGTGAGTTTCAGCAAACTATATATCATTTTCATACATGCTTTCAAGAAAAGAAAAAAGGGGTTTCTCGCAAAATGTATGTTTAAAATAAACATGTTCATCACCTTTCACTGACTCAGTCAATTAAATGGTCACTGTGTGTGCGTACATTTTGTTTCTGCCTAGGTTTGAATACATTACCATTAATGATAAGTACACTGTACAGTACAACCTGCTAAGTGAAACACCTCTTGAAGCGTAACACCTTATACGAGGAACAGTTTTTAAGTCCTATTTCAGTCCATTTATTTTACCTTCTGATCCAAGGAACGAGAACTTTACACATTGGCATTCAAGATGATTAACGAATTGTAATGCAAGAATTGAATAAATCATAAATGAAAATGCATGTTACTGTATCGCCCATTGTCATGATTGTGTCTGTTTTGGACATGGGGTCTCATAATAAACTTATGAAATATAAAATCTGTACATTATCTATTTCATTGGGGAATTAAATCATTCTTTTGCATCAAGGTATCAATAAGTATCAGTAGATGCCAGTTGTCAGTTCCCAGTTTCACCACGAGGTGGCTAACTTGGGTCATATATGAATGACAGGTATAAGGGAAAGCTCCTCTAAAGTTCAATATTCAGTAGATGTATTAATCAATTTTCAACTAAGGTCTATAGGTGAATAGCTTGAGGATTTTAGAATTGCATGTAATCGAATACATAATAAACACCCAGTGGGTGTTTTAAAGAAACTCTACAAAGTGTGAAATAAATACCATGCTATTATCTCTAATAATGGTGATTTTATTTTATTTTGTAGCAGTTGAATGAGGGATTTTGGATGATTTCATTCGATTATTGTCAATCACTGAAATTGTCATAAATTAATTACTTTCTACAAGTATGTGTTTATTTATTGATTTCACTTCATTTGGTATTACTCAAGAGAAATTTCTTGTTATCATTCTAAATTTGCCTCTATTTTCAGTAATCTTTCCCATCTTCATCTCTTTTCTTCATGATGTTCTACAAGGTGGTTTATAATGATTTGAAATTTAGGAGTTCGAAATGAAGGACAGTAAAATCATGTAAACCCAACCACTCTGAAATGCAAAGAACATATCATTAGAATCCACATGGTAAAATCACTCACTTGGCTGATCATAAATTGTTTTCATAACATCCTTCTTACTCGACACTGAAGGGGAGTTGGAACGTCTTATATGCATGTAATGTTAAGTATTATGTACATTAATCATAGGCATGTCAGTTTTGTGGTTTTGGTAATCTAAAAACAGAAAATTTGGTGAAATATACATTTTCAGTCGGCGGGTTTTTGATTTTGCTTCATTTATCAACTCAGTTCAGGTAATTCGGTTGAGCCAATCACTGAATTCTGTTGCCAAATGAATCTTGAGTCTCTTATACAGCATATGGAATACCATCTGTAGGTAAAATGACATTAAGGTGGAGAAGAGAAACAAACATACCTTTCCTCCGACATTTCGAATTTTGCGCATCTTGTCGAGTCTTTGATCACCCACTTTTAATAGTAGGCGATCACTGTACATACAGTGCTAAGTGTGGTTAAGCACAAGGTTACTTTTGGAGTAATAATGCTACAAACCTTCGTTTGATAAATGTTGCAAGGAAACCATGCTTTACACCCTTAACCTTTACATAGTTGACACTGGGATCTCTTTTGGATTGTGAGTCCACAACATTTATTACCTCATCTGTCCCATCCTCGCCTATAATCATAATAAATAATAAATATACAGTTTTTGTTACATGAAATATACACTTTTACTCCATTGTATCAGTATCTATTGTTATCCTTTTGAAATGTATTTCTTTTGTTGACTGCAAAAATGTGTGATAGAGGTTAAATTAGATATATCGGATCTAAATAGAAGTTATGAATACATATAATTTATTTGGGCTTAAGATCTTTGGATGTACATCTTGGACCCTTCTAAAATCATTGAGATATATTGAATCTAGATTGTAACTTCTGTTCATTCTGATCATGTAATGTACCTTGAAACTCACATTAAAGGACATGAAAGCTATATTTTAGATAGTTAATATCTCATGCCACCATAGAAACTGTTAAGTAATCTGTAAATAAAGGGTAGTGCTACTGGAACCTGGCAATATTTAGGTTACATACCTTGTGCTGTTAGCAAATCTGATCCTGATCCATCAAATGCTGTTGGTAAGGTTCCAGCACTGGCACTATATGAACCCATATAGGCACCCAGTGATGATCTGAATGAAATGTGGAACTAAAATGACAAGAATAAATTTTAAAGTTGTTAATGTAACACATTATAACACATTATTTCCATGATTCAGTATGGGAACTTTGAATATTCTTGGATCCCAGACAAAGGAGTGGTATCGATATGGTGAACTTTTTGAACACGCGTTTCTCTTAAACCAGTCATCAAAACATTCTGAAAATTTTACACATCGTCAATTTAATGGTCATCTTTTGGATAATAACATTATAATTTGAAATATATATATATATACGTTTCTCTATATTGTTTGAGAAAACACATCAGACACTTCTTTCGTTCTTGGTATCATATGTTCCGAATGAAATGAAACGTCTTTCCGAACCTCATCGGAACAAAACGACATAAACACAACGTGTTTAGGTCTCTCAATATTGTAATTGTACAAAGGAAAGTTTGGTTGATTTTAAAAAGGTATCTTGTTAATGAAATAAAAGTTTATCTTAATTTTATCTATTTGGGGGGGGGGGTTGTTTCAAGTTTTTGCATGCTTTTTATTAAATCAACCAAAATTTCCTTTGTATAACTATAATATTGAGAGGTCTGAGGTGTTTTTCTACAGAATGTTTTCAATAATTAGTTTAAGAGAAAAACAATGTTGAATTCAGTTCACTATATCGATACCTATCCTTTGCAATTCATGAAAGAAGAAAATTCTGTATTAATTGCTTGTCATTTTTAAGTCAGTCATATTCTGACATAAAGATTATGAATTCAGACAAGTTGGCACTTGCTATGTTTTTTTTCCAATAAATGGTTGCCCAGGTTCAAGATAACTAGCGCTGGACCCTCTTGTGCTTCCATTATGCTACAATATTCAGCCAAGCTAAGTTATCTCCAATTTTCCATCAGTTTCATAGAATAGTGATTGCTAAAGCAAATTAATTCAGTGAAAATGAATTAAGTACTGAATTAGGATTTTATGCACTGAATACTCACCGCAGTTATAATGGTAGGCCTTGGATTCCCAGTGCTGCCAGAAACTTCAGTAGTTGTCATGTTTAGTGTGAACAGTGCATTCTTCAACCAGACATTGTTTCCTGGTGCAGAACATGTTACCCAATCAGAGCCTTGGCTTCCATCAGAATCATAGAACTTGCAATGCGGGTCACCGAAACACATCAGAGTTCTTCGTTCAACCGAACGTGGTGTCTGAAAGCAAAGACAAACTAGATTCTAATTTTTGTTGAGGTTGTTATTGTTTTCAATAGCTTTATTGAATTTGCTACCTCACGATTGGAACTGACTGATATCATTTTCCAAGGGCCATTTATGATTGTGAAGGTTATGAACACTTATCATTTACTCCATTGAGATGATCTAGATTCTTCTCATTTGAATTTACATATACATGCATAATATTATTCATTTATTAATGAAATATATTAATGCATGATTTGTGGTAGAAATAAAGTAACATGGATTATATTTTGAATAAGGTTTGTTTTATATACTTTTCAGAGAATACTTACATATGCTGTATTTTCCAAGTCGTCTAACGATACAAATCCATATTGTACAGGAAAAGTCAATGCTACATATTTCTTCAAGCTCACTCCAAAGCTTTTGCATTCAGTAAGTTCTTCAGTTGTGAGTGTCGTACCACTTTCAGAGTCTGGTAAGACTATGTTTCCCATACATAAAGCCATGTTCTTGACTTCCCTGAAATAAATTGATTAGCCTATTACTCTTTTGCAGTGGGGGGGGGGGGGGGTTAAACAATTTTAGGGCCTAATATCTGCTTTTCCCAATTTTGGTAACAGACTGGCCATAATGGGCATTTGTAAATTTTTGGCCTATTTTTAGGAAACTGGGCCCAAAATCTCAGATTTAGGACAAAAAAATACTGCATTTATGAAGATTTTTGCCCCCCTCCATTTGATTTTCAGGTCTGTCCCTGTTCTGAGTACTTGTAATAACTAGTGAACTCTTATAATAGGACTTGGGCCATGTAACCCAAATCTTAAATGCTGAATCAAATGGAAGCAAGAGTTCTAAACTAAAAGTAGTTGTCATACAAAACCATGCAAAAAATAAAGTTACGCATACCTATTGATCTTTGGAATAATTTCACTAGCAGTTTCTGAAGGAGCATCATTCCAGAAATCTGCCCCACCAAATAGGAAAATGTCAGGATAACAATCCATAAACTGATTCATCAGAGTGTCCATATCTTCGAAACATGCTGGCATTTCAACCCCTTTTTGCTCAACAAGTGTAGTCAGGTTATATGTATTACTTTGGTAGAAAAATGGGTACATTTGAGCCATGACTGGAAATACATAACCATATGAATATAGTTCGGAGTAGGAATACTAGCGGTTACTGTTGGTTATTTGGTTTCCTGTATAAAAAAGCTTTTTCTCCTTTTCTGGCCCGTCGCAGCGCTATCTAGTGTTTGATAAATGAATCAATGTTTATTCTCGATAGGGTAAATATCAGGAAAGATTTACAAGTTTTGTTAGAAACAGAATTTTTTGAGATGGCGGAGTGATTTTGGAGACTATGTAGAGCAGAATAATTTTCTGAAACAGGTAGCTTTACAGTGGTAGCTCTCTCCAGATTGAGTTCTTGATTGAATCTCAAAAACGGTGTGGTCACCGTATCATTATTTTGTAACGGCAAGCTAGACAAGACTCCAATGAACACTGGGCACTGTTTCGCTGAGCTAGATTTGTGCCCATGAATATATTATGAAATTAAACGTTATAATGGTCCTCAGTGGGATTTTTAACTGCAATCTTGACCCTATACAATAAGCATATGTCTGTTTTTAACAAAAACTTTGATTTTTCCACAACCTATCTGTGTATTTTTCTGGAATGACAATATCTGATATGATATTGTGACGGAACGTGGCGTCTGGGCCGAGCGGAAACCCGTGTGTCACTTTAAAACTCTCACGTGGTATGAGAGCCGGCGGGGAACGTCTGTTGGTGAAAGGATTTTGTTGTGTTGATTTTAATTATCGTTCTGCCACTGATATTATACAAGTAGAATAACAAAGAATGACAAGGGAAATATAATAACTTTGATTATTTGTAAAATTAACAAGTTCAATTGGAGGAATATGTGAATGAGGAATGATGATAATGAAAGGTTTGGCCAATATTTAAATTCTACAACATAGCTCCCTGAAACAATTAGAGCACACTTTGATGGCTAAAAGAGCAAAATGTAATAAACACTGAGTATGGTAGGCTCCTAGCGACTTGGGCTCCAGAGCAAAATACTATATTCAGAATAATGGCTCCACAAAGCTCAATGCACAAAATGAGCAAGCAGCAGGCTCCGGAGCAAAATGCAGTGCTCTTTATTTAAGGAGCCAGAAACAGGCTCTGGAGCAAAGTGCAATATTAAAACAAATGGCTTGGCAAGGCTCCGGAGCAAAATGTAGTGCTCAAATAAATGCCTCCGTCAGGCTCCAAATACAATTAGAGTCAATAACAAGCTCCGGAGCAAAATGTAATGCTCTCAATGAGTCAATAAATCAATGAGCCTTAAAGCAAAGCAGGCTCCAGATCAAAATGCAAGGCTCCAAATTAATAGTCAATCAAGCAGGAGCTCTCAATGGGCTCCGGAGCAAAGCACAATGCTCCAAATCAATAGTTTAACAGCAAAACAGGAGCTTTGAGAGCAATTAAGAGCAATTAAGTACCTATTGCATATGAATTACTACTACCTTGGTTATACCAATTAAGTCACATAGCAATAGTCTTACACTACCTTGCCTCTTTGAAATAAATTCTTTACTCCACACAAGAGAAATTGGCTCCGGAGCAAAACGTAAGGAGCAGTTTTGGTAGGAGCAATTTGTTACAGATATGGCCAATCTTTAGACAAAGAAATATGAATGTTGTAAATTGTAGCAAAAATGAATGTAATGAGATTGGAATAATTGACAGTAGCACTGGGAATTAAGGATAAAAATAATGAATATGCGAAACGTTTAGATTGATAGAAATACTGGGGATAAAGAATTGGTGATAGCGAATGCTAATAAATGGAATATTTGAAACAATGGACTGTGAATTGATTGAATGAAGGATGTAAAATTGAATTTATTTCCCTTATCACTCTTGAATTGCAATGGAAATTAAGCAGTAAATGTGGACTAGATTGACTCACTTTAGCTTCACTTGTTTATATCAAAACAGACACAGTGAATTTAAATGAACAAATAACAAGACTTTATTGTAATAATTACCTTATATCAGAATACATAGTCACAAGCAGCGCTGAACGACTTTCAGGCTAACAACGTATCTCCGTGTAAACGCAAGATATATCCAGTTATGTTCAATATAAATCCACAATAATACGATCACCAGTGGCACAAATATCCAGCGTAACTTAATACAGCAATATAAATCCAAAATCTGTTATAAATCCAATGATACAATTCTGTTATAAATCCAAAATGTAATCGCAGGTTCTTACTCTTCAGCATTCAAAACTAGACTGATCGTTCTCCCGAACGATCATGAGAAAGTTTATATTTTTGACAATCTATTTCCATATAAGGAAGTGCAACTATGACAACAGGTCTGTTAGCTTGCTACAATGTCAAAATAGCTGTCACATCAAAGACTAATAAACCTAGCGCTAGCCTGTCAATCAATTTACTATGTGGGAAAGTTTGTAAAAGTATCGGCAAAATGCCGTCAGAAATATAAAACTTGACTGAAAATCACTCTTTTTAAATTACAATATCTCCTAAAGTATGAGATCAAATTCAAAGTTTAATACACCGTTTAAAAGCTCAATTCACCCTTAATTTAAGAAATAATTATTATAATTTACAGACAAATACTCTTCTCTATATTTAATGAGAAAGAACATGAGTAAATAAGAACTGAAATCATGTGTGCCAAGCGGCCATGAATTAAATAAAATCACACGTTTACACTAGTTATTTAAACATGTCTTACTCAAAAACTATTATTCCTTTTTGCATGAAATAAAAATGAATAAATTGTTAAAAAAATGTTCTTTTTAACCATATATAAAACATAATTTGATCTTGATCAGAAAAGCATGAAAATAAAACTTGAAAATAAATAAGAAAAATGCGCTCCCGCTACAATATGTTACGTCACAGGTAATTGCTACATGATTTCAGTCTTATAACAATGAACAGGATTAAATGTTTGGTCATATATCATTTTTGCGCAATAAATCATAAGATCTCTGTCTTTATTCCTTAATTGAAGGAATCTTAGGGGATAGAGAATGTATTTTTTTTCAAAAAGCATGCCAAAAATAATTGAGACATATCTGATAAAAAGCATTGGAGAGTTAGTAAGAAAGTGTCAAAATTCATTGGAATTATGAAAAGAGATATTGTCTTTTACAAAACTATTTCTAAATAACGTTAAGATGGAAGAATCATTCAGAAATAAAGTTAGAACAGCTTGTCTGGTATTACCATCGCGTATAACATCTGTTTTTGTGCTACCATCACTGTTACATGCAAATTCCGCTTTTCCAATTAAGTTGGCCAACATTAATTTAGTGGATGCATTCTCTTCATCACAGTTATTTGCTTCGGTCATTACATCAGTTACACATGCCGCATATGAGGCATATGGAGCCACAGACCCATCTGTGGAATCCAAGTATCCCATTCTTCTATAAATATAGGTGTATGAAATTGTGAAATCCCTTTTTAGTGATGATATTAAATTGAATAACAAAAGTAGCCTTGCCCAAGTCGGTCTCTTTTACTTATCTTGATTTCTATTATGACCGCCTTGTACCAAAGAGAAAGCCACGTGCTTTACCGACAGTTTGTTGATGTCGGTAAAATTTGACCAATCAACAACGGCCCTGTAGCGTTAGCTCATTATTATGCAAGGTCAAAAACAAGTGCACTTTTCACCGGGACTTTTCACGAACAAATCTTGCACGAATCTGATCACGAATTCATCATGAAAATACAAATATTTTATCAGATAAATATCAATGAGAGTTTAGTGGATGCCGGGACATCGATCGGATAACCAAAGGTGAGAAGATTTCAACAATAAACGTTGAAACGATCGCTGAACATGTAGAGATTCAATCACCGATCGATCGACAACATGACCCGCTACATTGCATTTTCATCGCGATATCAGTTTTAAATCAACATTGAATCGCATGATTTAATTTATATTAATGACTCTTACCTTCCAGTGTACATTTAATTCCATAATATATTGTAACTCTAAAGAAACACTCGATCAGATCATTGAATTTCAAGTCGTAGATGAGAAGTTTGTTTTGTTTATGCAGCTCAACCTAATAACGTTTTGATTGGTCATTCAGCCTGAAGTCACACGTCGTGTCCACGCGTTATCTGTCAATCAATAAGGTTTCGCGATACCCCTGATAGCGTAGGTATAATGGAAATCTCGAAACCGTTGAATATTTCAGCATAATAACAGCGGAGATGTATTGGATTGTACAAGGTGGTAATAATTCAAGATCAGATAAGTAAAAAATACCGACTTGGGCAAGGCTATAACAAAAGGTGTCACAAAGAAAATAAAATGACTCGAACAAGTGTTTTGATTCTAGAAGTAAGACATATATTAACTTATTTCAGTTTAGGAACTGTCAATAAACTTATTCTCGTCTTGGTATAGAACCTAAGATAAGAAAAACTTAATGAGAAATAAACACATATTGATATTATCTTTGGGAGTGCTCATAATATGCTAAATGGTTCAACAAGTAGAGTAAGGTTTTCTTGTATGTATAACACCTACCCACAAATCATTGTATCAAGATAATCAACTACTGCCTCAATTAGAGCTTCTTTAGCTTCTGATTCGCTCATAGAATCTGTCACTATACTGGAATAATCAGTCTGGGTCTGCTCCTGTAGTGAGTTGCTCATTATAGCACTATTCCATCGATTCAAACTATCCTTGCACCAGTAATCAGCAAAACTCAAGGCACCATACTGCACACACTTTTCATCATCAGTACCATTTCCTGGGAAGGCATTGGAATTTGGGTCGATTCCTGGGCCAAAGAATTGAGCCTGGGTGCCCAGTATCACTAGTTAAACAAACACAACAAAAATATGTGGACAAACTACATAACAAGGCTAATTTCAGTATGTGTGAATACAGAGTATTCAATTGATTGTTTTTGAATTCCTATCACTTAAGTATTTTTGCTTTATCTCATTCTTTTTAATGGTTTTCCCATGTCCCTTAATTAAACACAAAAAATAGTAAGTGGTATGGTATTTTGCATTTTTCTTAGTTATAAATTCAACTTTATTCTGTTCTCTTCAAAGCCCAGGGTTTGGCTAATTTAGAATTAAATCAAAGGTTATGTAAAAATTATCAAAATTTCCAACATCATATTTATGTGTGTGAGATGAAATTTCTGAGAATTCACTGATTAGGTGTACAATCTTTTAGGAAATCAAATGATTGAAAATGAAATATTTTTGATACTATTGTAACTGCACTTATATGAAATCAAATGAGGTGGCACATTGCAGAAATAAGTGAATGATATGTATACTTCAAGAATTTTTTTTGAATTTATTTTGTTTACTGATGATATGTACATATTTTTAATAATTAAAAGAAGAAAGGTACTTTCTTACATGCCATGTACCATATTTACTTCTATTATAATTTCATGTATTTATTTGGAATTTTGGCTTTTATAATAACACCAGTTGAAGTTGTCTTTTAGATAAAAGGCAATAATTATTTTCATAGTATACTCATATACACATATGATCTTTGTATAATTAATTAAAGATTTTAACAGTTTTGTTATTTCATAAAAAATATTGATAATCTTATCTTACCTGAGAGCAAAATTAAAACCCTCATTCTTGTACAACTGTTGCAAGCAGAAATGGAACATTGTTTGGACACAAAAAATATATATTGCTTTTTTACAATAATACATGGTGAGTCAATAAAATTGGCCCATTTTGATTTATTTGAAAATTATATCATGTTCATGTATTGAATTCCCTTTCTAATGGTATTCATTTTATTTTATTTAAGTACCTCTGTTTATACTTAGATTATAGTAGAACGTGAATAAGTGTAATACCATTGATTCTACCAAGAAGATGTTCCACTTATAAAGGTTTCATTAACACTTATTCAATGAAAATTTTTCCACTTGTGTTCAACTGATAGAGGTATTTTTTTATTTGGTCTTCCCTGTACATTGTACTTGGTCACCAGTTTGGGTTTTTCATATCTATGTTGATGAACACAGAATCTGAATAATTACCTCACAATGCCCATGGTTACCTTTCAAGAAAAACCCCCTTAAACTAAATATACAGGGGCTTGACAAATATTTATGTATATTTAGATTACGAATGTCAGCGATTGTCAACAATGGTATTGAATACATTGAATCATGGTTGTCTTTTATTCATTTGAAAAAAAATGAAATCACAAAGAATAAATATAAAATTCGAAAACAGAACAAACAAGGTTCAATACAATATAAGCTTAACCAAGGACGTCTGAGATACACGTCCTTGCCTTAACCATCCAGGGAACATTCACAAACCCACGTTTGTTTTATGTATTGAATTTCTTCAATATTCATTTATTTTGTTCAAAAATACAATTCTTAATTGCTCTTTTATTGAAAAAATAGAAAATTGTGTTGTGTAACTATGAAGATCAACGAAAGCAGAAAAAAGCAACTTATAAAGGAGAGCTCAATTAATGATGTCTCTCAAAAGTGATGTTTCTGATGTTGTGATTATTTGGTAGGAAATGTGTTACATGACTTGTCTATCTAAGTTCTCTCCTTATATTGATGTAGTTTTGTTCATAACATGTGGACCCATAAGCATGTCAAGGTTTCTCTTTTTGTTCTAGAAACCCATTGTTCAGTGACCCAGTGAAACTGCAGTGTTCATATGTGAAATTTTATTATTAGAACCACTTGAAAATTATAGACCTTCTAGATACCAAAAAATATTAAATTGCAAATCAAAAAAACACAATACAGTTTATTTGTTTATTTATTTGCATAAAATTCTTATTTGCTCAGTCAAAGAAGTCATTGAGTAGCTATTCAGTTTAAAAGCTATTGTAGAGTCTGTAATGACATGTCTAATATCACGTCGGCAAGGCATAATAAATACACTCTCTAGCTATGAAAATAAACGATTGCAAATAATAACTAAACTAGGCCTATCCAAATAGTGAGAATAACAGTTCTCCCAAATCTCATTATTTGCAGCTCTTTAGCATTATACATTTGCTCTTAATGTTTTTCTGTATATTATTTCTAAAAACTTTGACCATTTTTCACCGATTTTATTAAGTGGTAATAATGGTTTATTATTAGCTACCTCAAATTGCATATTTGTCAATGATGTGCCACAGTGAGCTGATTCACGCTACCATACAGTGCATAGTTATTTATTTTATTATTTAGCCTTAAATTTTGAAATATTAAACAAATTATGAAAATATGCATAATTATCCCACCGAACAAAGTTCGAGGGGGATATAATATAGAGAAGCCGTCCGTCTGTCTGTTCGTCCGTCCGTGTGTCCGGGCGGTAACTCCAATACCGGTTGATGGTTCAAATTTTATAGGCTTATGCCTTATGAGTGTAGGACCTCTGCTCGAGAAGGAATTTTCAATATGGCCACTCAATTCAAAATGGCCGCCATTTTTCGTAAAAAATGTAATTGTTGATAACTCATATACCAGTGAACGGATTTGGTTCAAATTTTATATGATGATGCCTAGTTCACAATGGTATAAACTAACTTTGAGCCAAATTTCATGCTTCTATCACAAAATGCACAAACATTTCAACATTTACATATATAAGCATAATAAGCATAATATGTTTTGTTCGGTGGGATTTGCTACTCCGTGGAGTTGCTGTTTTTCTAGTATAACTTTAGCAAATTACTTTACTAATTACTCTGTTAGAATGGCTGATGATTGTCAGTCCGTCATATTTGTGATGTTATTTGCATTTCTTGTTATACAGATTGGTATATTTTATTATTGTGAATATTGAATTGATGTTTAATATATAACTTTTATTGACATATTGTATCATTACATGATTACATTAGTCACAACTACTCACTAAGACTAACTAAAACTACAATTACAAAGTAATGTACAAAAATTCCATATGCATATTGAAAGCATACAAGAGAGGCAGAATATTTTTAAGTGTGATGTACAAAATATGCTGACTATTCTAAATAGTTAAATGAGTGATATATAAATTTACCAAGATGCCGTTGTATGATGGTATTATCACTTGAAATTATATTTGTAAATAAATTATCACTATTTAAATCAAATTTTGATAATGTTTCAGAAATTTTGCTGAAAAATATTTGCCTGTGTTGAGAATGCTTTGTACAATTTATGATAAAGTGAAATTCATCTTCGTTTGGATTTTGGCTTCGTGTGTCTTCCTGTTTCTATTTTTAACTGATGTGAACTCAACGTAAATCTACTTATTGCCAATCTATATTTTTTATTGTCTAACTTTGTATACGTAGTTCTAATGCAAAATCTTTCTTAAACAGCTTATATTTCCTTAACCCTTTCACGACGATGGGCTCCATATGGAGCCCTAATATGTAATACCTTTCAGGACGATAGGCTCCTTTTGGCACCATTATATTTATTTACATACATCAATGAAATGACAATATCTCCAGTTCTATTCAATATTTTTACACCAAATTTTGACAAGTTGTTCTTATGTTATAATACTTACTGAAAATTGTATTTCAGTGATAAAATTCAAGGTATAGGTTCCAGGGTGTAGGTAATTTGCAGTTTTCCCCTAAAAACCGCTCTTACTTATCTGTCACAAGGGCCAAATTTTTCCTCTTATATTCACGTCGGGAAAGGGTTAATTTGGGATATATCAAAATGTCCTTTTTCCAATTTTCTACAAACATATTCTTTAATTTCTTGTCAACCAAATTTACTAAGTGGTCTGTAATTTGACTTTGGTCATCCCAATACTCTGTTAGTTCACATTTATGAAGTATATCATAAACTTTTGCAGACCAAGATTTAAACCCTAATGCATGTTTTTCTTGTCTATATAAGTAAGCCTGGTTTAAAATATTAGAATTTGGTAGTTTAAAAAGTCTTAACCAGTATTTTACAATTGAAAATTTAATTTTAATGGATAAAGGAAATTTACCAAGGTCACCATACACTGCGGGATTAGCTGTTTGAGTTTTGACACCTAAAATAGATGTTAAAAAGGACAAATGTATTGTTTCAATTGCTTTCATCTGCTTCTTGTCATACCAAATCTCACACCCATAACATAGTATTGGACTGACTAATGAATCAAAAAGGTGAAGAGCAACATCAGGTGGCACGTCATTGAATTTCTTATACTGCTGTTTGATTTTGAATATTGCCTTTCGTGATTGTTCTTTGAGATAACTTGTGTTGATATCAAATTTATTATTATCAGTAAGAATTACTCCTAGATATTTATATTTATTTACATGTTCAATATTCACAATAATGAAATATACCAATCTGTATAACAAGAAATGCAAATAACATCACAAAAATAAATCTCATTGTTTATCAATTTTCGATGTTCTCTGGACAATAATTTCTCATCTAGGATGAATGAACAAACCTCGCTGCACTCACTTGTGAAGATATCAATATTCACTCATGGATATAAATGATATTTTTTTCAAAACCATTGGATATTCCTATAATATTCAATGATAACTTATTATCCCTTTTCAGTCATTCAGTTAATCTGATGATAAAAACACTAGGGAGTTCATGCTTGCATATAAAATCGAAACATTGACCTATATGCTTAAATATTTTCTGTTCACATTTAGGTTGTGAAAACATTGCAAGCTTAAACTCCCTAATGAGTGCCAGAACTCATGGCTGTTCACTAATTTTCTCTTGTGTGTTGTTCTTCACACCATTCCCATTGGTTTGTGTATAAGTATTGCTGTATCAAAACTTCAAATACACTTTAAATTAATACCACATTTTTTCTTCATATTTGTTTACAAACATTTACAATATTTCAAGAAGATCTTCAATATTTTAATTGAAATGTTTCTTGGGAGATTTTGAAACAATTTTTACATGTAAAAGTATATGATAAAACAAAACTGAATTATTCACCATCTATTGACAGTTTTGAGGTGATTAATTAATAATATCTATGAATATTTATCAATTTTGATAATTTGTGTAATTTTTTTAATGAAGAGATTGACTGTCACTGCCATCTATATTTGGTATGGCCAATTCAACAGACGGGAGTAGATACTTACCAGTTTCACCACCAGATGGCTCGTTCGGGTCAGATGGCATGGCGGATATAGTAGAAAGTTCCCTTTAACTAAAATTATACATCTGTTTTAGTGGTTAAATTTTCATGTAATCCTTATGTTCCTAATAGTTATGCAAATTACAATATCTCCAGTAAAGCAAAATGTTATCTGTTCAATACAAGATATTTCGCTTTTTGCGATTTTTGTAACATGGGCTCTATGGGGAATCAAACAACCCGAACTGGAAGTCACATTTTCAAAATTAAATTAAATTTTCAAAGTTGATTACAATTTTTGAAACCATGTTTTTAGATGTACTTTTACATGTAGATTTCAAATATGACATCACTTTGACTGAATTTTGAATTCAAGATTATTTGAACTAAAAGTCCATTTCACTGCTTCATTTCGTCAGTAGAACGGCAAAAATAAGAAATTGGGAGACCATTGTGCAATAAAATATGGAAAAGTATATTCATAATGTACATGAATGACATTTGTATATCTTGGATTGCTTCTAGTTTGGCTTATAAAGTGTGTGGCCTCTTATATTTGGATGTTTCTCTGCCATGTTATTTTCAATAAGATTAACATGGCTGAAATTCTTCAAATTACAAAACGGCACAGGCTTATTGCACAAAAAACAAAAAAATCTGAAATATACAAATGTCATTCATGTACATTATGAATATACTTTTCCATATATTATAGCACAATGGTCTCCCAATTTCTTATTTTTGCCGTTCTACTGACGAAGTGAAGCAGTGAAATGGACTTTACTTGCATCTCGTCTATTGAAAACAATTTTGAAGCCATTTTTAATGTGATAACTGAACCTCATATTGTTTTTGCAGATTGTGTCAGTGTTGAGGAACTATGAAAGGACAGTGAGTGACTTGGGACATTGGGGCCAGCCATCAAAGTAAGAGAGCTACTTTTTTCAGTATTTTGTAGTAATGTTATATATTTTGGCTAATGATCAAAATGGACAAAATAGAAAAAATATTCTATGATTATAAATAGATGTCAGGACTGAGGAGTGTAGGGACAAATTACACTGCCATCTATTGATCATATCTGTCAGACCAAAACAGTAGTTTGAAAATGATCAGAACTCAGTGGATCCAATTACTATGGCACTTAATTCCACGAGGGTGAAACTCCATGCAAACTTATTGGTCCACATGACTTAAATATATTTTGTATTAACACTCACTCACTCTCCACTTATCATGGAATACAGAGTGGAAAATGTTGTCACTGTTGGGTATGGATTCTGTATCTCTATTGGAGTTATTAGAATAACTTATACATGTAATATCATAGTTCAAAAGCCATATTACATGGTTAAGTGAAAATACTAAAGTAACACATTATATTTTGTTATTACTTCCTTTGAATATCAAAGTACATTTTAACCATGAAAGCTCTGTGGCATATATATAGCAACATTTTACACTGAAATAAGCCAGAACTCTGTTATATGCAAAGCCTTGGGAAACAACCTCGGGAACAACTCATTGAGCTAATCTCCTTATAAGGCGTACATTAAATTAGAAACAGCTTTTTGGAAGTAGTGGATCTGCCCAGACTTTAATACTGGTATATACTAGTTTGGGGAGCTTAGTATGTTCAGAAGAAATACTCCATAGATAAATGCAATATGTATATATTCTATATTTCTTTTATTAATGCTACATGTATTTCTATTTCATTGTATCTACTCCGCATAAAAATATTGTGTATTATTATTAAATTGCAGTATCATGTATATATACAGGGTGGGCCAAAAATCAGAACATCTTCATCCATTGTAACTTTTTTGTTAGTCAATACTTTAAGAAATTGAAAAACAATTCGTTGTCAACAATTTGCATATATATGAATATACAAGATCAACATTTAATTACTCAATGCAAGGGTTTCCTGAACATGTCCTCCACCCACCTGAACAATCAGTCAGAGCTGTATTTGACAGTCGTACATGTCTTAAGTGACAGGTTTTGAGATATATTGTGCCAGTTTTGGCAAAACCTGAGGTCACTTAAGCTATATTATCCAAGATAGACATGTCTTGCTTCTCCTTGAGATAACTAAGGCCTACATATGTTTAAACTGATGGGAATTGTGTTGAGACCATTTGAGGGGTACATATTGTATGATATGAATGACTGTATTTTCAGCAGTGATGTCTCAGAGAAAATTTTGAAATTTTGAATGACTTACGCAGTTTACAGATCTTGACCATGACAAGCCAAAACTAATTATGCGATACATATTTTTATCTTTAACATTTTCACAAATAATCATTTTACTATTATCTGAATTTTTGTAGATGGAACTGCAATAATAAAGGCAATTACCCAGATGCGAGTAGGTAGTGACATGGGGTCTATGTCGAATCTCCCTGACCTAAAAGTCACATCTTCAAAGAAAATTAAAATTTCAAAGTTGATAAACACATGAATTTTGAATTTCTAATAACATAAATCAAAATTATTTCTACTCGCATCTAGTGTATTGTTCCAATTTTCATTGGCCCACCCTGTAGGTTTAGCAAAAAATAAATGAGCAGTCAATTTTCCATCACCATTTCCAAAACATCGTGGTTTGAAAGCCCATACTTACCAATATTGTCTAGATAAATATCACACAGGTATAGTCTGACAACGGTAATTTAAGTCAGATACCTTTGTCACAAATGGCGGACATAACCATCGCTTCAACTGTTTAATCACTTGGTCCTCATTTCAGGGGATTTTATGGTCACTAATTCTGTGCATGTATTAAGCTCTTGTGATGATGTTTCATATGAAATCCCAATTTCGATCAAATTGGGTCGTGAATCGCCATAATATAGCGTCTTCGATATCGTCAATGACAACGGAATCTGAATTTGAGTAATGTAGAAACACGGGATGTCATCGCCTGATTTGGTCAATGTTAGGGAGCAGGTCGTTTTTACAATAAATTTCAATATTTTCACACAAAATATTTTTTTACTGAAAAACTGCTCATTCGCAGAGAAAATGTACTAGCACATGCAATGACAATGTCAATCACGCTTCTGTACTAAATTCGGCGGAAGTCTTTTATAATCTAATACGAAGTTACTAAAAAAGGCGCGAACGCCCTACACTCAAAATGATCGTTTTTCCATTATAACTTTTTAACGTAATTTAACGAAGGCTTCTAATTATTATCCAAGATAGTCTAAATACCGATTAAAATATTTCTTACTTCAAACAGATACGCCGTTTTTTATTCAATTTTTTAAAAAATAATAAAAAATAACTCTTGTCAATGTTAGGGAGCAGTCAATGTTAGGGAGCAAAATGATTTTATCAGAATATTAAAAATGTAGCAAATGGCCATTTAAATTATGTATGGCATTTATAAACTGAACAATTTTGTTTGTATGATTATTTGATACCCTTTGGGGAGGAAAGCGTTAAAATTGTAAGAAAATCATTGAAAAGGTTATTTTGCATTTTTTATTTTCAGCTAAATCCTGTTTACGTTCGTTTTAGAAATATTTAGATGCGAACCATTCCTTCTTTATTCGTTGACCTCTAACTGTAAATGAATGGATGTATCGTTATATACACTTTTTGATGATGTCATCAGTTCACAATCCTAAATTGTGGATGATAAATTATCTGAACTGATATATAGGCTTGAGAAATCTCCGACATCCTTCAGTTCTATGATTTGATATTTTCCTAGTATTAAAGTAAGAGAGTTAGTCTCGCACTTATCTTTACGACCGGGTATCACCTGATAGCTGGCACAAACGCTATGAAGGGCTCCTTGCGCAGTTACATGTATGATAGTAGATTTTTACACGTATACTTCAATTTGTCAATACTCAGACAATGCAGTATATAACCGATCTCTGTTATATGTGTACCACTTGCTAATGATACTCTAAAGCCCGGTATACACCAATGGGACAAGTTGGGACCTCCATAGACTTAACATGGCGTGGGACCTAGTGGGACCTTTTGGGATTTTGCCCCATGAAGTCCGTGGGAATCAATGGGACTCCGTCGGATTTTGCCCCAACTTGCATATAATCTTGCCCCATCGAGTCCCATGAGGTCCCACGTTGGACTCGATGGGATTCGATGGGGCAAAATCCCACGGAGTCCCATCTTGCCCTATCGAGAATGAACATGTTCATTCTTTCCATGGGGCATCGTGGGATTTCCGATCAGGTCACATGTTATGTGAAGCCCAACATACACCAATGGGGCCATACATATTTTAAATGGCCATTTGCTACATTTTTAATATTCTGATAAAATCATTTTGCTCCCTAACATTGACTGCTCCCTAACATTGACAAGAGTTATTTTTTATTATTTTTTAAAAAATTGAATAAAAGACGGCGTATCTGTTTGAAGTAAGAAATATTTTAATCGGTATTTAGACTATCTTGGATAATAATTAGAAGCCTTCGTTAAATTACGTTAAAAAGTTATAATGGAAAAACGATCATTTTGAGTGTAGGGCGTTCGCGCCTTTTTTAGTAACTTCGTATTAGATTATAAAAGACTTCCGCCGAATTTCGTACAGAAGCGTGATTGACATTGTCATTGCATGTGCTAGTACATTTTCTCTGCGAATGAGCAGTTTTTCAGTAAAAAAATATTTTGTGTGAAAATATTGAAATTTATTGTAAAAACGACCTGCTCCCTAACATTGACCAAATCAGGCGATGACATCCCGTGAGAAAGACAATGGCATATGGTAATTACAATGTCCGTTGTCCCGTATCTCATTTGATCGGTTAAATTAAAGACTTTTTTTCGATGGTAGAACATTATTAACTGTACAATGAGTATTAAGACACTTTGATTGATTGTTTTCCAAAGGAATCTAGTCTAGGTGCTCAATTAAACATACAGTTCATGAAAATCTAGTTGAAGCGACGGTTATGCCCGCCATTTGTGACAACGGTATCTGACTTTACCGTTGTCAGGCTATTCCATGGTGAATATCCCCTAAAATTTGTTTATTTTACATTTTGTATACTCTCATAAAATTTGCTTATTTTTACCATGGGGGTATCCTTACTTCAGCAAATCCACTACTCATTTATTTATTGCTCAGACTGTAGTTCTATTATTGTAATTTTCAGATGTTTTCATTTTACAATTCTTAGTCTATTGTCTATAATATGTCAAAATGTTGTAATATATAGCCTGTCCTCGTCTAACTTCTTAAAAGAGTCTTGATTCAGTCCTGAAATATAATGAGATACAAGATAATACAAATATAATAATTTCAAATGAAACTTCAGAAAGGTAACATAAGAAGAATTTGCAAAACAACCCCAAAAAATAAATTATAATTTAGATGCTTAGTACATGTGCTTATGGTTTAGTCAATGTACAAGTGTTTCGAGTTAAGTCAATGTATATGTACATGTGTTTACAGTTAAGTCAATGTACATGTACATGTGTTTACAATTAAGTCAATGTACATGTATGTGTGTTTACATCTAAGTAAACGTACATGTTTATGTGTTAACAGTGTGCATGTGCATTTGTTTACAGTTAAGTCAATGTGCTTGTGTTTATAGTTAAGTCAATGTACATGTGCATTGTTTACAGTTAAGTCAATGTATATGTGTTTACAGTTAAGTCAATGTGCATGTGCATTTGTTTACAGTTAAGTCTATGTAAGAACATGTACATGTGTTTTACAGTTAAGTCAATGTACATGTGCATTTGTTTACAGTTAAGTCAATGTACATGTGTTTAAAGTTAAGTCAATTAAATGTGCATGTGCATTTGTTTACAGTTAAGTCTATGTAAGAACATGTACATGTGTTTACAGTTAAGTCAATGTACATGTGTTTACAGTTAAGTCAATGTACATGTGCATTTGTTTAGAGTTAAGTTAGTGTTAAGTCTATATGTACATGTGTTTACACTTAAGTCAATGTAAGAACATGTACATGTGTTTACAGTTTAGTCAATGTATTTGCAAAAAAGTTGATCAGAGCCGAAGAAACTTTGTATACCCATGATGGAAAATATATTTTTGAAAAG